ATTCTAAGCCAGAATCACTRAATCCCAGACTGGTTTGGGTGGAAAGGGACCTTAAATCTCCTCCCATTCCACCCCCGGCCATGGCAGGGACACCTCCCACTATCTCAGGGTGCTCCAAGCCCTGTCCAGCCTGGCCTTGGACACTTCCAGGGATCCAGGGGCAGCCACAGCTTCTCTGGGCAGCCTGTGCCAGGGCCTCGCCATCTTCACAGGGCAGGATGTCTTCCCAATATCCCATCTAATCCTGCCCTATGGCAGTGGGAAGCCATTCCCCCTGGTCTTCCTGATGAAGAGTCCCTCTCTGGCTTCCTTGGAGGCACCTTCAGATACTGGAAGTCCTTGGCAAGCATTGATATTCAGAGCAAACCCTCGGTGCCAGCCTGGCACGTGGAATCCCAGCATGTGCCAGGAGCTGCCCGTGGTCTCCCCATCAACCTGGGCACCCCAGAAGGCTGACCTCAAAAACTTTCAGACAGGAGTCTTGTTTTATAAGGACATATAGAGATCCAAACATGGAATATTTAAGCTGGTGTTATGCAATGGGAACTCTTTTAAGTCATGATTTGTAAAGGCAGTTCAGATAATTTCCTGAAAGACATTCTGCTAATGATTAATTTAGAATATGTTTAATTCAAGTTAGAAAGATCAAAGAGGGAGCATTTTTCCTGTAATGCCATCYGTGGTTTCACACTTTCACCAGATTCCAGGCACTGGGGGGTGTCTGGTTTGTCCTTCCCTGGAATTCCTCTGTGAAAATTGCAGAGGAAAGCATTCTGCAGTCTCCGTGCTGGCTTGGGGCAGGGGAAGGGAGAGAAGCCTCGAGCAAAYCCCTGTGAAATTTGCTCTGGGAGATGAGGAGGGACAGGATGCTGGGGGGATGTGGAATCAGCCTTTCTCCTGCAGCCGGGACGGTCTGACATTCGTAACTGGGAATGATTCAGGAGTATTCTTTGTTTATGCATTTTCTGTTATTAGTTGTTTTAACCTCCATGTCTGTGCCAAATGTGCTTTTAGTTCAGATGCAGAGTAACCTTTTCTGGGGAAAGAGAACAAGCCCAGCATTTATTACAGCTTTCTGTGAGGGAAGAGGTCCAGCCTTCCCCATGCAGGTACAGCCAAGCTGGGAAGGTGATCCTGTGCCTGGCAGGTGAGCAGGGCTCGGGGTTTTCCCTCTGCTCCCAAGCTGCTGCTGCCATTTGCCTCTTCTCGAGCTCCATCCTGCTGCTTCAGTCCTCACTGCACCATTGAATCTTATTTCAGAGAAGGAAAGTAACTTGCTCTGGCTCAGGAGAAGGGGTTTGGATTCAGATGTCATTTTTCCTGCCCACCTGTGCCCTGTCCCCGAGCCGGGCAATGCTGGTGATGGTGACGAGTGGTGCTCACAGAGCTCCATTTGCCTATTCATAAGGCACGATCTAGGCCATGGCTTTCCAAGTTCAGCTCCTAAATCCATATTGTGGCCTGCGGGGAGCTGTTTGTTGATGGTCTCAGCTCTGCCGAGGTTTGGCAGGAGTGCTGCCGCACAGCCCCAGCCCCTCTCCAGCCGTAGCGCGGCTCCTCAGCTGCCAGCGCCCTCCCCTCTGCCCAGGCTGCTGCCCCCGGGCTCGGCTTCGCACCGAGGAGAGCTGATGAGAGGGGAGAGCCAGCTTAGCCGAGCTCCATGGATCTGCCACAGGGCCGGGCCGGCAGCTCAGGCTCTGCGGGCAGGAGCGGGGCTGCTCCGCTGGGGTTAACAGCATCTCCAAAACCCCAGTGCTTGCTTCAACAAAGGCCTGGAGGCGCTGGACTGTGTCCGGAGAAGAGTACACAGCTGGGCAAGGGTCTGGAGAAAAGGAGGCTCCGGGGGGGCTCTTCTGGCTGTCCACAGCTCCTGACAGGAGGGGACAGCCAAGGGGGGTCGGACTCTGCTCCCAGGGAACAGGGACAGGATAAGAGGGAATGGCCTCAGGCTATGCCAGGACATTGGCAACATTTCTTCATGGAAAGGAGTCCCTATCCCTGGAGGTATTTAGCGCCCTGTGGACGTGGCATTTGGGGTCATGGGTTAGGCGTGGGCTTGGCAATGCTGGKGGATGTTGSACTCGATGGTCTTGGAGGGTTTTTCCGCACTCAATTTCTGTGATTTACTCCAGCATGGGTCAGGTGCCAGGCTGCGAGCTCGGGCCCCTCCCGGAGAGGGCCAGGGCCCTCCCTGACTGCTCTGTGCAGTTGCTCCATCTCCCGGTGCCTCTGCAGAGCCGGACGGGCAGGACGGGCTGTCCCCGAGCAAAGCCCCAGCACKGCCGGGTCCCCGCATCGCATCCCCTTGGTGCTGCCCGCCCCGGCGCCCAGGGCACGGCAGCTGCWCTGCTGCCCGTGTGAAACCCTCTTCGTTCTAAAACACACATTTCTCATGCGGCATCGAGCCGCAGGAACGGGTTAATGCCATCCCGTGGGGTTCCCCCATCGCAGTCTGTGTCTGCCGAGYGACTCTTTGATCAGATAATGCACTCATTTGATCAGATAAGGCGTGTGTTCCATGTATTTGTCAGGAAGCGATGTATTCGCGGTGTTTGCGGGAAGGAAGGAGGCAGCGCGGGTGTCAGGAGCAGCCTTTGATCCGCGGAGATGCGCGATGTGCAGCAGSAATCCGGCCCTGCCAAGCACAGCGGCTCCTCAAAGATGCGGGGCTGCCGGCGGTACAAATCACAGGGGGATTCTGGCTGTGGGAGAACTGAAATGTTATGGGTTAATGACTCAGACAATGGGCCATTTGCAAAGAAGCAGGGGTTTTGCAACCCCCAGCCGAAGGCGAGGAGGAGGAGAGTTTTTGGCCAAATCTCTGAGTGAGAACAGCCCAAGGGCAGACAGGATGAGCACCCGCCTCTGAGGGATGACCACGCCAAACCCACCTTCGTTTAGCACCARAGCTGGGTTGGAGACAGATAAGGAAAGAGGCGATAAGCAGATGCAGCAGGTGGGATAATGCTTTTTGTCAGGGCAATGTCCTCCCTCACACAGCTGGCTCAGGTGTAAAACTTCCTCCCAATAAGGTATTGAGGACGTTCTCACCTAGGCCTGGAGGTTTTCATCCCTTCTGCTGGGGCATAACTGACTCAACTGATCCACAGATGAAATGGGAGATGGTTCCTGAGCTGAAAATGTCACACAGGAAGGTGTGTGGGGTTTGCGCCGTCCTTGGTGTCACTTCACAAGTTCCAAACCTCTCACATTCCCTCCACGTTCGGCCCCGCCACCCCCTCCTGTGCTGTCACTGAGTGTCTTTGTCCTGCAGAGAGATGCCAAGGGCCAGTACCTGTTTGACCTTCTCTGCCACCACCTGAACCTGCTGGAGAAGGATTACTTCGGCATCCGGTTTGTGGATCCCGACAAGCAAAGGGTGAGAGAGAGCCCCTCCTGCCCGGGTTAGGAGAGGTGGGGGTCAGGCTTGTCCCTGCAGCTGAAAACCAGAGTATGAGGCGAAGATCTGGAATCGCGTTTGGGCAGTGGTGAGGGGCTCTTCCCAGGCAGCTTTCCCCCGCCCTGCTGCTGGGCCAGGGGCTCCTGTGTGCTCAGGCGGTTCCCTTCTTTTGCCCAGGGACAGGCATCTACTCATGGCCCCCTCAGCACCCTGGGGAGCCGCCGGGGAGTGGTCTGGGGTGCACCCAGGCTCCGGCAGCAGCCCCAGAGTCCCCAGCGTTGGTTGGGATGGACGAGCCGGAGGGACTCTCCCGGTTCTCAGGCCCCTGCAGGGCTGAAAGCATCCCGGAGTCTGAAATGTGATGAACGTGATGCAGTTATGAAGCCAGAAGCGAGGCTGCAGGACCACCTCTAGCACAGATTCACGCTTTAACACCGAGATTAGGCCATTTGACAGCTCTGCACCGAGGATCCAAACATTTGAGTGTTGCCTCGGGCAATGGAGAGTGAGACGAGAGCAGGAGCGCAGAGCCAGAGCAGGGCAGGACCCGRCCTGACCCCGCTCCCGGCACAGATCCGTGTCCTGCTGGTCCCAGGCAGCGACAGCAGGGCCAGCAGAAGGGGCACAGACCCACGGTGGTCCCAGMGAGCTGGAGGGCCACGCCGAGGCTYTGGGAGTGAGTCCTGCCACTTCCCTGGGTTAAACAGGGCTGGTGCAGAACGAGCTCTGCCCGGTGTCTGTCCAGTCCCTCCCTGCCATCAGAGCCCTGGGGCTGTGAATGAGGATCACTCTGGGCTCACAGGCATGGGTAACAGCCTCGTGTTGTGCTCCCCACTGATCAACACAASCYGCAGAACAGCCGCTCCTGCCCCCAMGGCTCCCCTGCCACGGCTGTAACAGGGAGCAACCGATGCTGAGCCGGGAGCTGGGGTCCCTGCCCGCTCCCTTCCCCCAGCTCTCTTCCTGACACTCAGGTGGCTTTTCTCACCCAGACATTCTCACTCCCTCTTCATCCTCTCCACCTTATCAAGTCATGGCTGTCAGGCTTTAATTACCTYCTTTTTCCTTTCAGCACTGGCTGGAGTTTACCAAGTCGGTTGTGAAGCAGATGCGGGGTGAGTGTTGCAGGTGTTCTGGGCAGACTCTGTGCTCCTTCCATCTTAGATGCATTTCCATGTTCTCTGGCCTTTCCCCTCTGGGATCAATTCCCAGCCCCTCTCCCAGGAAAAGGGTCCCCCAAAAGCTGTTCTGGTGGRTTGAGAGCAGGATTGTCCCCAACCAGCCCCATGGCAGCTGCAGCTGGCACCGGGCACCAGCCTCTACAGAGACCAGGACAGGGATGATGGGGATGAGGAAGTGAGGTTTGTGGGCAGGACTAGGCTGGGTGGCAGGTAGGTAGACCCACTGGCAATTCCCCATAACTTTATCAGGAATATCATGCTCTTGCCATGCCTGTCTGCTCCCCCTTTACCAAGGGCAGTTTGGGGGGACAGGGCAGGCAGGTGAGACCCCCCAGTAGCGCCTGACTCGAGCAGGGTGGTTCAGGGATGAAGGGGACAGACCCTGCCCGTTGGTGACATGGTGTCCCTGCTCTCCRCAGCCCAGCCTCCCTTCACCATGTGCTTCCGTGTCAAGTTTTACCCCACAGACCCCGCGGCACTGAAGGAGGAGATCACCAGGTGAGGACGGGCACCTGCATGGGGGGAGCAGCTGGCCCTGGCAGCAGGGGCTTGGATGGGGCCGGAGCACGTGGGCAAGCTTTGTTTTGTGGTCAGGAAAGAGTAACAGCCATTGGGATTTCCCAACCAGCCTGGATGCTTTSGGATCATTCCTTCTGCAGGGGGAAAGCACAGGAATCTCCATCTGAGCCGAGGCAGGGCCTGAAGCTGGGGAGCACAGGCTGAGGGTGGGGAGGCACTGGGACAGGCTGCCTAGAGAAGCTTTGGATCCCTGGAAGTGTCCAAGGCCAGGATGAATGGGGCTTGGAGCAACCTGGGACAGTGGAAGGTGACCCTGCTCATGGCAGGGGGTGGGACAAAGATGGTCTTTAAGGTCCTTTCCCACCCAAACTATTCCTGGGTTCTGTGATTAAAGCCTCTGGCTTGGTCTTTGGGTGCCATCAGTTCCAAACCCACATTCCAGGGCAGAGCTCTCCCAGCACGGCACCATCTCCCTCACACAATCACTGCTGCTCTGACTCCTCCACCTCACAATCAGCCATCCGTGTGCTGCCCCAGCTCAGGGTGTCCTCAGTGCTGTCGGGAAGTGCCCAGTCTGTCGGGAAGGGTTTGAGCATCTGCAGGTCCCCTGACAGCCCCTGGCAGCAGCCAGCCGCGTCCCTCTGACGTCAGGAGCGCGGGCGCTCGGGGAGCGCTGGGTGAGAGCTGCCATGCRGAACCTGACAGCGCCTCTCCCGAGTTTCTATCTTTAGGGGCTCTCGGTGCCGCTCTTCCTGCCAGGAGGAAGAACGTGAGGAGCACGTGCGGAGCAATCGCTGCWGCTTTGGAAAACGAGCCGTGGTTGTGCATCTCCGACAGCCCCAGCCCCCTGCTCAGATCTGCCTGGGGCAGCTGAGCCTGCACTGAAGGGCTCTGAACTGGCACCTTCTGTGCAGGGACCTCTGAGAGCCCCCTCCAGGGCCTAAAGGGGCTCCACAAGATCTGGAGAGCGACTTAGGAGGAGAATCTGCAGTGACAGGCCACGGGGGAAATGGCTTCCCACTGCCAGAGGGCAGGGATACATGGGATATGGGGAAGGAATTCTTCTCTGTGAGTGGTGARGCCCTGGCACTGGAGCAACCTGGTCTGGTGTGTCCCTGCCCACKGCAGGGGRTGAAYACAGAGGAGAATTKCCTCCCAAAATCTTATCTAACTTTGCCCTCTTTCTCCCCCATGGGTCCAGGTTGAGACCCCCATGCAACTGCCCTTTGACTGCAAACTGGAACCTGGGCTTAAAATTCACTTTTTCCTGGGCTGAGYCAACTTTAATAGCAGGATTTCTCTTTAATTTATTTTATCTGTGAAAATTAACGGTTTACCTCATCATAAACTCAGATTTGAGCAATGAGGCATGACCGAGRACTGCAGAGTGCGAGTCTGGTTATTTAAATTAATTTCTGAGCRCTCCATTTTGCTCCTTCACTCTATGACTTATGTTTTACCAGCTAAAGGTTTTCTCAAACGCCACATGACTCAGCCTAAAATGTTACTTAGGTTTAAATTTATTTGAATACGTAATTTTTCCAGCATAGTTTGTCTTTTCACTGGGCACAGAGACGGGGATGGGTAGCACAGGAGGCAGCTTGCCCTGGGTGATGCAGTGCYGGTCATGGAGAGGATGGAGGAGGGAAGTGGGTGCATATGCAGATGCCTAAAAGTACACAGAAAGTTTGGGAAGGAGGAAATGACGTTATGGGGAAGCTGAACATCCAGGGAAATGCAGCAGGCACTGGTGGGCTCTTAGATCATGAAGTCTTCAGAGCATCAGGCACCTCAGCTGGGCAGGGATTGCGTTAAGAAACACAATGGGTATCCAGATTGATGGAGATCTCCTCCAGCCCTTGGGTCAAGCAGACACCATGTGCCTGGAGCACCATGGGCTGGAACAGGGGTGTGAGGATCTGAGCCCCAGCCCCGGCCAGGATCAGCCCAGGCAGTGCCATGTTTGGGAGAGAGATATCAGAGCAAGTGTCTGGTGGCAGATATTGCATATCTGAATTGCCCGTTTGTGTAATTTGAATTTTCTTTAATAAATGGGCTCTCCTGCTGTCTCCAGGTACTTAGTCTTCCTGCAGATCAAAAGGGATCTGTACCACGGCCGGCTCCTGTGCAAGACGTCGGACGCCGCCTTGCTGGCTGCCTACATCCTGCAGGGTAATGCTTTGTGACAGGAGAAATTCACTTTTCCTGCTGAATACTCGTTCCATTATTGCACTTAGAGCAGGTCACTGCACCTGCAATACCGATGGCACCCATGGGGCTGGGCTGGGGAGGGTGAGGATGGGTGCTGGGCTCTCACCTGCAAGGCCACACCTGCACTGTAGGGACACAGTGTCCCCAAGAGCAGCCCCTGCCCTCCTGCTGTTTTGCTGCCTGCTCCTGCAGCCTGAGGAGTTAATAAATTTGGGACAGTGACCATCTGCTGCCAGGTGATTGCCACACAAATAGCAAAAATTAATTGGATGCAGTTAATGTCTGACAAACGATCCCTCCCGGTGGGAAGTGCAGAGGGTTGGAGCAGCCCTGGCTGGGTGCTGCTGGGATGGGGATGCACACTGTGCTCTGCTTGTGCCACTCTTCCCAACTGGAGCTGTCTCCCACCAGCTGAGATCGGGGACTACGACCCRGGGAAGCACCCAGAAGGCTACAGCTCCAAGTTTCAGTTCTTCCCCAAACACTCGGAGAAGCTGGAGAGGAAAATTGCGGAGATCCACAAATTAGAGCTGAGGTACGGGAGCTGCAGRGGGTGCTGATGCTCAGAGCATTTTTGGGATTTTCACTCATGCCATGGGCTGAGCCCTCACCCCTCATGTGTCAGGTCCAGCTGGGACCCTGCTCCCCCCTCAGCCAGCACAGCCCAGGGGATCTTCAGATGGGGACAGTGACCAAGCCCCTCATAAACCCCCTCCTGCCTTCACCCCTCTCCGGGGACATGGGGTAGAGACCAAAGCAATTCCCATTATCCCATGGCACTGCCGGTGCCTCTGGAACTGTGTCCCAAAGAGACTAAGGGAGGGAAAGGGGTTTAACTTTCCAAAAATCCATCAGAGCCATGCCGGGGGCTGCTGCCATCTGTCCCCAAACTCCCCTTTCTTTCCCCCGAGATGAGATGCATGTGCTGCAAGCAGGGAATTCATCCCTAAATTTGGCAGATGCCTTTTGACCCTTCCCAGTGCTGCCAGTTCGGTGAGGCTTCTGTGGATGTAGCTGGCAGGAGAGGATGGGCTTCAGTGCTGSGTTCCTGCTAATCCCATAAAAATCTAATGGGAATGTGCTGTGGCTGATGCTTCATCACTAACAGAATCCCTATAGCTGCCTTTCACCTTCCTGTCTTCCATGGAATATTCTTTTTTTTCCTGTTTTTTTCCCCTCCTGCAGTGGGCAGACACCAGCTACTTCAGAGCTGAATTTTCTCAGGAAAGCCCAGACTCTGGAGACCTACGGCGTTGACCCACACCCGTGCAAGGTAAAACAGYTCTTAAACCAATTCCTTAGGCTCTTGCTGGAGCTGGATTCCTCTCATCTATGATCTGCAGAGATTCCAAGGACTGCCCCAAGTGTATTTGYCACCTGCCAGTGGCTCTGGGGACGTGGTCAGGGGGACATGCTGGGTCCATCAGCCTTCTCCAGCCTCAGCCCCACCCTGGCCAGTGTGAGTKCACAGAGGCGAGTGGGGAGGGCGAGTACTCTGAACCCTTCCACRGGTATCAGGGAAGCTGTAAGAAAGTGTTTTCAGTGCAGGCAGCTGTGACAGGGTGGTGGATCGTCTCCTGCTGAAGCAGGACTTTGGGAGACAAGAACAAGGTCAGTGACGTGGCTGAGGAGCCACCAGGCATTAATCTCTCTGTCCATCACTGTGCCCTGCCCGGCCTGTAATCCAGTTTGCTGCTGGAAATGCTCTTTATTGACTGAGGATGTCACTGTGTGTGGCTCTCTGCTCCCTGGTAATCCCATCACATGCAGATGGATGGGGGATACAAAGCAAGAGAGAGAATTCTGCTTTCAGGCAGTGCCTGTGCTGGGGTTCCCTGGGCTCTTCCCTGAATTGTGCCTCATAAACACACAGTAGCAGTAAATTGGGGGATTCCCCGTTTGGGGACCCAAAAGCTTGCTTTGCTCTGAATCACCCCTAAAGCAGTGGTCTTGCCAGCAGCCACCCATTTGTGACCTTTGCTGCTAAAGTCAGGTAATTGCCTTCCTTTTAAACTCTGAGAACCTTTTGAAGGTATTTGAGTTACACTGATTAATGTTCTTTTAACAGCTAAGGACAAACATACACACTTTAGGTCCATCAGCAGAATTCTGCCTAATTCATCAAGAGCTGCTGTTAACACACTTAAAGGATCTGGAAACCAAAGTTAAATGAAGCTGATTCTGTTCTTTCTTCTCCTGTGGATTKTGGAAAAGTTTGAATGAGGAGTTGTTTGCTCTCACCAGGCATCCTCAGTTCAGTGTCCCTTGACTCAATCCTGTTTGAAGTTTTCATGGTACTTTCATAGTAGTTTTCTCCCCAAAATACCAACACGAAAAGAGATCTTCCTTTCTTAAGCAGGGCTCACCTGAGTCCTGGGCTGTCCTTGGTACCTGTTTTATCTGTAAATCCCTGTAGGAATGTGTATGTGAGTAACAAGGGTCCCTCTGTTTCTCTGTTTCACTTTATGGACAGAATTTCTGGCCTGGCCAGTGAGAACCATGGAGTGGTTCAGGCTGGAAAAGCCCTGCAAGACCACTGAATCCAACCATTCCCCAGCACTGCCAAGGCCACCMCYAACCATGTCCCTGAGTGCCACATCCACACACTTTTTTGAGCCCATGTAGGCTCCTGTGCACCATTTAGTTCACCTGGCTCCTCCCAAGCCTCTGCACCCCCTGGAGGATACATCCCTCTGCTGAGACTCTGCTTCCTTTCCAGGAGGTTTTCCCAGATTTGGGAAAGACCCAAGCACTTTGGGCAGTGTGAACTGTGGCTGGTTTCTGCACAGACACACAGGAATGTCYCTCCTCTGCCAGATGGGGCTGTGGCCTCCCCGCTCGCCTTGTGCAGGTGTTGAGCTGAGGGTCAGCACTCCCTGCCTTTGCCGTTCAGCCTTGACAGCTGAGATGGACTTTTGCCCTAAGCATCCCTCAAAATCCCTCTGGGTATCTGCTGGCCAAAAAAAAMCCCAGTATGAATCTCAGCCATTATTGCTGACCCGCAACTGTTTCATGTTTTCAGTTCAGCCTGTCCCTGGTTTTCCCTGCACGTGGTGCGGTCACCAGTCCTTCCCTGGAGCCGAGTCCTTGGGATTGGGTTAAAGTGCTGACACTAATTAGTGGGTTTGGACTGGCTCCATGCCACCCTGGGCACTGCCTGGGCAGGGCTCCGAGGGAGGGAGGAACAGCTCGGGGTTATCRTGTTCTGGGTTAATTGCTATATATAATATATATATATTTAGGACTTGGACGTCAGTGATYCTTGTGGGTCCCTTCCAACTCAGGRGATTCTATGAAAATATAATAAATAACTATAATAAATGATATATATTATAGTAATTATATATACTTATATAAAATAAGTAGTGTATATCAATATACCAAATAAATAGTATCTATCTATATGATAGCTATATACAGTTACAATATATACTGTATAAATATACATTAATTGCAGCAATTATGACATGGCATGATATGAACAGCATAAATTCTATATACATCAATATGACATTTCATATAGATGCTAACATAAAACTGCAGCAGCCAGCTGTGGGGCCGAGGGGGTGCTGCTGTCCRAGCTGTGCTGATGGGCAGTGTCTGGACCATTCCCTTGCAGGATGTGTCTGGGAACGCAGCATTTCTGGCCTTCACTCCCTTCGGCTTCGTTGTCCTACAGGGAAACAAGAGAGTTCACTTCATCAAGTGGTGAGTTCCCATTGCTCCAGGGAATCCCTTGGGGTGTCCGAGGGATGGCCGGGCACGTGGGCACTGGACACTGCTCATCACCCACAGCTCTGTTGTCCCAGGCTCATTTTTCTCTGCATTTTTCCCCATTAAACTTCATTGTCACCATCAGTCACATCCCAAATGCCCCCAACCCCTGTGAGCCTTTGTCAGCTTTCCTGGGTCACTGCAGGATGTGCAGTTTTGGCAGGTGTGTCCCTGGCAGCTGGCACTGCCACCAGCCCGTGTCCACAGGACAAGCCCCTGCTGACCCTCAGCTTCCCCCAGGCTGTCCCCTGGTCTAGGTTGTCCCCTGGGCTGCTGTCACCACCCTCTGGCATCTCCTGGGATGGAACATAAAGTCTGGAAGGTTCCCAGCTGCCCCTCCAATGTGGCTGGGCTGGGAGGGCTCTGCACTGCACAGGACTCAGCACAGCTCCTGTCCTTGTCCCTCCAGGAACGAGGTGACCAAGATGAAATTCGAAGGGAAGACTTTCTATCTGTATGTAAGTCAGAAGGAGGTGAGTGCTTCCCCTTCCTGTGGGGCTTCCTGGGCACAGTGTGGGCGTTCCTTCAGCGATTTTCCCAGGAATGTGGAACAGGGCAGGCCCAGGGGGTCAGTGACAGTGGCTGCAGCTCCATGGCAGTGCCAGGGTCACCTCCCTGCTCCTGCTGGTGCCCAGATCTGAGCACTGGATGTCACAGCCCCCCTTAGCCTGGGCTGTGCCACAGCAGGGCCTCTGCCAGAGCCCCCCACAGCTCCTGGCCATGCCTTCATGCCTTCCCTTGGGATTATTCCCAAGGTGCTTATTCATTGCCATCATCCCTCAAAGTCAGCCAGAACACTTCTGGCTGAAGCTGGCTCTCACAGGAGCCACCAGCAGGAAATTTTGTACAAAACTGTGTTTCTGGCTGTTCCCAAAGGCTGGGGTGGTGTTGGCACCRGAGCACCTCTGCCCATCCCTCATGCCAGGCACTGCACCAGGCTAATCCCTGTGTCCCAAATGGCTCCAGAGCAGGATCTGTCCATGCCAGTGCCACTTTCCAGCTCTGTCTACTCCAGTCTTGGTCTGTGGGATGAGCACTACTCCCTGTTCTCCCCCGACTCCCTGTCTTTCTCTTTTAGGAGAAGAAAATTGTTCTCACCTATTTTGCCCCAACACCAGAAGCCTGCAAACACCTCTGGAAGTGTGGGATCGAAAACCAGGCTTTCTACAAGTGAGTGCTGGTTTGTGGGGTGTGCTGTCACCCCCATGGGTCAGTGCCCACCTGTGGGCTCAGTCGAGGCACTGRGGTCAATCACTGGCCATGTGGCACCTTGTCCCAATGGCCCTGGCAGAGCCACCTGCCACCAACAGCACCGATGCTCCTGGATGGGGTCCCTCCTTTAGCAGCGCCCCTGTGCTCGTCCCTCCTAAGCAAACTTCCATCAGGAAATGATAACTAATTATTTGGGATGAAGCCTGGAATGCCAAGCAGCACCATCCTGCTCAGGCCATACTTAACCCAGCCCGCTTTGTGCTTCGTAATGAGTTTTATTTTAATCAGCAAGCTGCGAGACAGAGCGTGCAATGCATTCCCACCGGGAATTCTGCAATCAGCAGCTGCAATCAGCAGGTTTCGCTCCTCATTACATGAACATGAAATGAAATTGCAATATTGCTTTACAAATCTCTCCGTGATTAATCGTGGCAGTGAATCACCACTGGGTTGTGCACCCAGCRGGTGGACCATGAGCTGGGCTGAGGTGCTGCTGGGCACTCTTGGGGTGTGGGATCAGCTCCTGTGCGATGGGCAGGTGATGGGATGGTCCCTCTGGGCAGCTTCAGCCACTCTGGTGAGTCCCCAGCTGCCCAGGAGGGGCCGAATCTGTCACCCTGCAATGCACCCTGAAGGCCATGGTGGGCTTTCAGCCCCCTGGAGAGCTCCAGTCCCTGCCTGGGACCTCATTTCTGCAGGATGAGACACTCCAGTGTGTCCCCAGCATGAGGGCACACAGTGCTGGCACCCTCCTCGCTGGCAGGGGAGGACCATGTTGTGTCCACCTCGGCTGAGGGGAGGTGACCCCATGGTGTCCAGCACCCTGGGTCAGAAGAAGCAGCAAAGTGTGGTGGCAGAGGTGTCACTGCCGGCCCTGGGGTCCCATTGCCAGCTGTGGCCCGAGCCCCTCCAGACTCCCTGGCAGTCAGTCCATCCTGGACACACTCCCACTGCTGCAGGGGTGAGCTGTGCTRACAGAGAAGGCTGCAGGTGCTCGTGCCCCGCCTTGCTGCTGGCAGTGCATTCATTCCTGGGGACATTCTGTGTCTCCAGGGCTCTGCTCCTGTCACCTGGCCTGCTGCTGTTGGYTCCTGGTGCTTGGCCAGCAGTGCAGGACGCTCACACCGCTACTGGTGCTGTTGCAGGTTGGAGAAGTCRAGCCAGGTACGGACGGTGTCCAGCAGCAACCTGTTCTTCAAGGGGAGCCGATTCCGCTACAGGTAAATACCGACAGCAGAGCAGCTGCTGGGTGTGTTATCAGATGCTCCTTTGGAGGCTCTGGGGAGCAGTTTGGGGCTGCAGCACACCAGGGATGTCTCAGGGTCTTCCAGAGATCCCCCATTACAATGCTGGCCCCCACCAGGGCACCTCCATGGCTGTCCCTGTGTCACAGCTGCCACCCCACTCCCCAGCCTCACAGGAGAAGTATTGGAGGGACAGGAGTAAAGGATGGGAGAAGATGGGGGATTTGGGGTTTGGGAACGACAACACATGAAACAAATCACCAACATCCCTAAATTCCTGTGCTGAATTGCTGAAGTGGCAGCCTGGATCTGGGACCTCATATCTGCAGGATGAGACACTCCAGTGTGTCCCCAGCATGAGGGCACACAGTGCTGGCACCCTCCTCACTGGCAGGGGAGGACCATGTTGTGTCTACCTTGGCTGAGGGGAGGTGACCCCGTGGTGTCCAGCACCCTGGGTCAGAAGAAGCAGCAAAGTGTGGTGGCAGAGGTGTCAGTCCAGCCTTTCCAGTTTCCCCATCACCCCCATTCCCAACAAAATTTCTGCTTTCCCCTGGAGCTGGGGGGAGCCGCCCTGGCGAGGCGTGCGGGGAGGGACAGCACCGCGCACGGTCACGGTGTGACCGCGGGGCTGCGGGGCTGCCCTCCTGTCCTCACCTCTGCTGGCCTTGTCCCCCCCGCAGCGGCCGCGTCGCCAAGGAGGTGATGGAGTCCAGCGCCAAGATCAAGAGGGAGCCGCCCGAGATTCACCGGTAAGAGCCCGGCGCGGGTGGGCGCCCGGAGTGGCGGGGCACTGGCTCCCTCCCGGCTCTGACCCTGTCCCYGCTCCCGTCCCCAGGGCCGGGCTGGTGCCGAGCCGCAGCTGCCCCTCCATCACGCACGGCCCCCGGCTGAGCAGCGTGCCCCGAACCCGCCGGAGAGCCGTCCACATCTCCATCATGGAAGGTAGGACACGGAGCGCTCCCGGGCGGGGACACGCACACCTGGGCACACACACACACACATGTGTGCACACACACAGACACACACATGCATGTACACACACGTGTGCACACACACAGACATACACATGCATCTACACAGACACACGCACACCTGGGCACACACACGTGTGCACACACTGATACACATGCATGTACACACACGTGTGCACACACAGACACACGCATGTACAGAGGCACACAAGGGCACACACAAGCACACAGACACACAGACACATGCACACATGTATGCATGGACACACACATGTGCACACAGACACACACACCTGTACACACAGACGTATGCATACACACACATGCGCGCACATGTACACACATGTCCAGCTGAGGCCACAGCCCCAGTGGCTTCTCAGAAGGGCTGGTGTTTCACCACACTGGAATGGGGAGGCAGCTTCTCCCCAATCCTGGGGCTGTGTCAGAGCAGGATGCACTGGGAAGAAGGGCTGGCAGAAGGCAAAACACTGGGACCAGCTGTGGAAGATGCCCTGTGGGGCTGGGGATATGCTGGGGACCGTGGCTGTGCTGCTGGTGGTGTCTGTTGAAGCTTCTGGTGACAGCAGTGTCCCATTCCCAGTGGCATGGCTGTTCTCTGCTCCTGGAAAGGCTGTGGGGCCAACCCTACCCCAGAACAGCCACACCAACCCTGGTCCCTGGAGTGCAGGGAGGGACAGGGACTGTCTGCCCCATGCGGGATTTAATTCCACCAAGGGATCCCAGGCTTGGTGACTGTGCCAGTTTAGGGGATGGAAGCAGACAGGGTCACCTCTGCCACCCTGTTGCTTGTGACAATCTCTCCTGCACGTGCCATTGTGAAACAGCTAGAGCATTAAATAACCTCCCACCCCAAATCACCGCGAGCTGGTACCACCCCTTTGCTTTTCCTCACTCTCACTTCAACTCAGTCCCGTGGGAACGCGGGTGCCCAAAATAGTGCTGACCRCAGGACTGGCAGCAGTGCCACTTGCAGAGCTGTCCCTGTGCTCCCTGTGCCCCTGTGCCACGGGCCACCATGGTGAAGTGCCTGGTAAAGATTAAAACCAGGGTCAGCGTCCACCTGTGGCTCATCAACCACTGCTGCCGGGAGGTGCGGGTCCGGGTGCTGGCCCTGGGGCCACGGCTGCTGTCCCGGGCCCTGGGGATTCTGCCGCTGCTCCCGGCCATCCCCAGCCATGGCCACGATGCTCCATATGGCCCTAGGGACCCATCTGAGCCAGGTAATGTGCGCCGTGGGGTCTGGGCCCTTCTGCAGTGTCCACGGGGATCCCTGTGGACCTTAGTCCCCATAATCAGCTGGTGACCATGGTGCTGGGAGAAGGGGGGATGTTGGAGTGTGGGATACAGGATAGACRTGGCAGGGAGTGGGCTGGGGTCACTGATGCTGGAGTCTCTGGGTTGTTACTGCCACAAAGCAGCTCTGKTGGCAGGGCTGGACATAGATTTCCCAGGATTTTCTTGCTTCTGATGTCAGTCCTGTGGAAGAAGATGGCAGGAGGGTTTGGGTCTGGGGGGCCAGCACTGCTGTCGTTGTGGTGCTGAGCAGGAGGACACCCTCAGTGAGTGTCCCCCACATCAGGGATGCAGCAGGTGCYGTGGGGAATGTTCCCGTGAGATGGGAGAGCACAGAGCTGGCAGGGTGAGAGCATGTTCCCTCCTCACTGCCCGGGAGCCCCGGCACTCGGCACTCTCACTAAACTGGGCTGAGCTGGAGGCATTTGGGCAGCATTCACAAATGAGAGGCTACAAATCCCCAGRAATGCAGCTGCATGAGCTCCAGCGCTGCCCTTTACCCTTCGGCAGCACAGGGCCAGGGCAGGTGGTGACAACATGCCAAGGTGCTTTGGTGCACTGCACTCTGCCATAGGGATAGGTGTAGCCCCATCCCTCTCCAGCTCTGGGGACCAGCTGGTCCCTACCATGACCTTCAGACACTCTCCYTGGAGCTAGGGCCACTGTGATGTCAGAGTTCCTCTCCCCACTGCCTGCCAGAACTACCCGAAACAAGTCCCATGTTTGTGTGGTTTCCTGGAATTCAGGGATTTGGAGGAGGTGTTGTTAGGGGCAGGAGTTCCTCAGCACACAGGACTGTAACTCAGCCTGGCACGGGGCTGGGGGCTGGCACAGGGGGCTGGCACACAGCTTTTCCCACGGCTCCTGCTCTTGTGTGTGTGATGTTAAACATTTGGTTTGCGGGGAATCTTTAGAACTCAGAGTAGCCTGTGCTGCGGGGGTGTCGTGCACGTCATAGGGACATCTCCCCCCACGTGTTGGGGGACACCCACACCCCGCCAGACCAGCACAACCTTCTCTTCACACACCTCCCACCCTGGGATCTCATAATTCCTACCCATCCCTGCACCCCCACGGCGATGGCTGCGCTCCCCAGCTCATTCCTGCCGGTGTCCCGGTGTCCCGTAGTGCCGCAGTGCTACAGTTGGCGCTGYCAGAGGCATTGGGGCCCCAAGCACTGTGGGCAGCTGCCAGGGTGATTGTCACCGTCACCTCAGAGCAGCTACAGCCCGCGGGTGTGTGCGATCTACTGCAGCTCAGTCCGGGCCCTGCTGCGGAGCCGGCTAGCAGCCAGCGGCTGTCCGTGACGGTGACAAGCCGGGCGGGTGTCCGAGTGCCACTGCCGCGGTCACGAGTCGCGTTGAAGGGGCTGCAGGTCCCGAAGGACCGATRACAAGAAGCAGCAACCCAGGGCAGCCGTGCCCCGTCCCTGCGGGGGGACACCGGGGCAGAGCAGTGCAGGAGGCTCCCGGCTGTGGGGAGGGCCTCCCCTGCACTCCGCTGATCATCCCCTTCCCTCCTCCCCTGTCCCCTGTCCCCCAGGTCTGGAGTCGCTCCGTGACAGCGCCCACTCGACCCCGGTGCGCTCGGCATCCCACGGCGAYGCCTTCGCGGGCCCCGGCCGGAGCAGCCGCGCCGAGAGCAGCGAGCGGGTGGCCGTGATCGCCGACGAGAGCTACAGCCCTGCGGACAGCGTGCTGCCCACGCCCGTGGCCGAGCACAGCCTGGAGCTGATGCTGCTGTCGCGCCAGGCCAACGGGGCCCCGTGCAGCATCGAGGAGGAGAAGGAGTCGGAGGCGGGCACGCCGGCGGCAGAGGCGGAGGGCGAGCTGCGGGCGCTGTGCCCGGGCGCCGGCAGCCTGGGGCCGGCACAGGCCCAACAGGTGAATAAGTTTGTTTTAAGTGTCCTCCGTTTGCTCCTTGTGACAGTTGGACTCCTCTTTGTTTTGCTCCTCCTCCTGATCGTCCTTACCGAGTCCGACCTTGACACTGCCTTTTTCCGTGATATCCGCCAGACCCCCGAGTTCGAGCAGTTCCATTACCAATACTTTTGTCCCCTCAGGCGATGGTTTGCCTGCAAGCTCCGCGCCGTGGTAAACCTGCTCATTGACACCTGAAGGCAGGAGCCACCACGGGGGCCTGGACCTGCCGCCGTCCCCGCGCGGGACCCGCCGGGGCACTCACTAACCCTCCCCTCCCGACCCAGAGCCCGGCCGGCCGAGGAGGCGGCTTTCCGGGAGGAAGAGGAGGGTGGGCGCAGCCCCCGGAGCCTCCTCCTCCCCGGCCCAGCCGCGCCGCTCCCATCCCCGGAGCCCGCACAACACCTCCCGTCCCGATTCACGCGCACGACTTGGGAAGCACCGAGCAGAGGGGAATTCATTGCTCTGCCACCCCCGCCCCCGYGCAGCAGCCGGGGCTGGCGGGGCCGTTCCGCAGGAGCTTTAGCAATGGTGCTACTGAGGTTTAATTTAACACTCGTGTACTGTTACGGTATTAAATCCGCACTGTGCCCGCCGCCACCGCCCTCCACGAACCGCTTGGCAGAGCCCTCCCTGCTCACCGGAGCCTCCATCGAGGTGACACAGCCGCGACGCTCTCGGGGACGCCCCGGTGCCTCCCCTTCCCCATAGCGCAGCGATCCGGAGCCCTCTCCCTGCTGCGGACTCGGCCCTTCGCTACTTTTTTAAGCCTTGAAGCATCGGTGCTCCCGAGGGCAGGGGAGCATGGAAGCCAGGGGACGCCAGGCCCACGCGGCCAAGCCTGGCACCGAGTAGTGACTGTGTCAGATTTATTGGGAAGACCTTTACCCTCCGCCAGTTGTACCTGTTTTGTAAAAAAAACAAAACCAAGCAAAAAGAACAAAAAAAAAARRGRRAAAAAAGAGACATTTCAAGGTCTATTTTAACAAGGAAATGCTATTTTGTTATCAAATCCAATCCAATCTTTTTTTACTTTACGGATGGGGTGACCGTGGGTGCCGGTACCGAGCGGTTCCCAGTGAGCAAATGGTTTAAGAGTAAACGCCGGGAGCCCAACACCAGCCAAGTCCCGCTGGGTTTGGGACAGAGAAGGAGCTCTGGTTTTGGGACTCTTCCCAAGAGGACACAAGTTCAGGAGCACAGGTGACACTGAAGAAGCCAACGGACACCTTTAGCCCCGACTGTTGTTAAGTGCAAGTCAATACACCCGACTCATCGCGCTGGTGACAACACCCGGGACCGTTGGTCACCAGGAGCAGCAGCCCATCCGCAGGGAGCAATAACAGCCAGTTCTGGTTAGGTTTGGGTGAGAAGTTGGACATATCAGCAAAAAAAAAAAAAAAAAAAAAAAAAAAAAAAAAAAAAAAAAAAAAAAAAAATAAAAAAAAGGTAAAAACAGTTTAGCAAGTTTAATTTCATCTCAGGGAGAGAATTTGCCGTAAGCTGGGGCCATAACTGCAGTTTTACAAAGCCTGATGTCCGTGTTGTCTTTGAGCATCCAGCACCCACCACTGGGCGGGACGGTGACGGGCCGGACTGGCTCGTTGTCACTGCAATAAGGAGAGAGGTCCCATTGCGGGGTACGGCCCCCTTGCCCAGGTCACAGCTGCAGCCACCCGCTCACAGCACGAGGCCCAAGGAGGGGCTGGGGTCCAGCCCTGGCTACAGAGCAAGGCAGGAGCCCTCCAGGAAGGCTCCAGGAAGGCAGAGGAGTGATTTTTTTTTACATGATAATCCTGTTTTATGCAACATAGCAAAATTAACTCTTAGTGTAGTGTTCCTACCTCAGCCCATAGTGCTGATGTTTCTATGCAGTTGTGCTCGTCCCGACGCTGACATTTTTCACCCCGGGTTAACACTGCAGTGTCGTCCTTCCTCCTCCTCCTCCTTCTTCTCCTCCTCCTGCCCCTCCTCTCCTCACTGCAATGTTCTGTGTGACGTGTGACAGCACAGCTCCATCCCACGCTCCATCCTTTTCGGACACATCCTCCGAACCCCCACCTGGGATCTTCCACCTTGGCTTTCCTTGGATAACGCTCTGTGCCAGCCCCAGGTCACCTCTGCCGTTGTCACCCAGCGTTTTAATGCAAAACCACRAGAATTGGTGATTTTCCGTTGTACGTTTTTCCTGTCCGTCCCAGATCCTGTCGCGTTTCAGGCCCTGTTAGTTTTACCCGTCTTTCTATCAAAATGTTATTTCCATAGGTTCCAAGATCAGAAACCCATCAATTTTGTCTTAGCATACTGCATCTTTCAGCAGTAGACAGTAAAATACCTGAAAATGTGAATTTCTTAGTTTTCATAAAGAAAACCTAGAGATTAACCTTTCATGTGCCAAATACTGTAAGTTACATCTTTTTTTCCTTCGAAATGTACCTTTTTCTACATATCCAATACCTTAGTTAGCATAAAATCATTGGTGCCATGAAAAGTATTTTTAAATTTAAATAAATATTTAAATATCATGAAAAGCAGAGTTGGGATGAGCTTTGTTCAGTGATTCTGATTTTTCTTTACTCAAGTGAAAACTCAGCTCAGTGAGAAATTTGGTCTTTTAGCAGCTTCTYACTGGAGTGAGGAGCAGCTTCGGGCCACACAAGTTCCAGAGCTGCAGGTGAGTCCCTCGCACATCCTGCACTGTGGAAGCACAATTTTACAAATGCACCAGGGAGTTTTGGGCCCCTCAAGACAAGGAAAATATTGAGGGGCTGAAGTGGGAAGGGAATAGAGCTGGGGAAGGGGCTGGAGCAYCAGGAGCACCTGAAGGAGCTGCGGGCGCTCAGCAGGATGAATTTTATTTCCATGGAAGACACGGGTGCCAAAGGCAGTTTAAACAATTTATTTTAAGACTTTCTAAAGTACATTTGTGTCCTGAGAAACAACAGTCAGCTTCAAAACTGCTTAATACGGAATAAACAAAGTCAATGCAGAAAGTTAAAAAAAACAGATCTAAGGCCCTTCTATTTGAACACATGAAGGCGGCCACTGGAGTTGCCCCCCACYAGGATGTTCTGGCTGGGGTGCACGACGTTAATGGAGCAYACAGAGGTGAGGCAGACCGTGTTGYAGAAGGAGTGCAGCAACTTCCCAGTGTCCTGGAAGACCTGGATCTTCCTGGGCTGTGCCAAGCTGCCTACCAGGAAGCAGTGCTCCTGCTTTGGGTCCCAGATGGCCCTGAAGCGGCTCAGCCAGCGGCCTGTGTTGGAGTTGTGTCTGCAGGGGAAGGAAAAGACAAACATTCCTCCTCATGAATCCAGTATTTAAAATCGTAATTTATATCCTATTTGCTCCCTCGCCKTCTAAACCTCTAGCACTCACACTGGAGTTCTCAGATCCCTGCAGTGGATCCCTGTCCTGGGATGTAGGATGGAACAAGAATACCAGAATGGTTTGGGTTGGGAGATCYTAGAGACCATCMAGTGTCACCCCCTGCCACGGGCAGGGACACCTTCCACTATCCCAGGTTGCTCCAAGCTCCATCCAGTCTGGCCTTGGACACTTCCAGGGATCCAGGGGCAGCCACAGCYTCTCAGGGCAACYTGAGCCAGAGTATCAACCCCTCACAGGGAGGAATTCCTTCCCAAAACCTAACCTAATCTTGCCCTAYGGCARTGGGAAGCCACTGCCCCTTGTCCTGTCCCTCCAGGACCGTAGGAGTGGCCACAGCACTGCCCTCAGCCCAAGTGTGCTTTCTTACCTGATGGTACTGAACAATGTGACAGTCGATGACAAGGATGTGGTGTCGTAGACCCTGAGCACAAAACAGCACATTAAAACAATGTACCTGTGCTAAGAGAGCCCTTCCCTCACACAGCAGGATCAGCTTCTGGGGCCACCCAGGAGTGTGGGATACAAGGAGCAGCACAGACACCCAGCTTGGCCAGAGGCACCAGCATTCCAACTGGAATTACTGGATGTGTCTGATGAAGTGGATTTGCTTTCAGCTGGAACTGCAGCCCATCCTTTCTGGCAGCTCTAGAGGAGGGGCTAGAGAGGCCAAAGGCCAGCCTAGCATCCCACCTGCTCCTTCAAACCCATGAACTTCGGGGATCCCACCCTGCTAGGACAAAAACTGCCCAGTCTTAACAAAAATCAGGTAATTTCCTAAAYTGTATTTACAAAGTAACCAGGAGAAAAAGAACCTCTAACACAAGCAACTCACAGCAGGTTAAATGATGAAATGGTAGGCTACTTACAGAAGAGCTGGTAGCATCRTTATGTCAAATACCAGCCACAAACAAATTTAATTTCTGAGCATTTTGTGTTTGTGTTCACCAGCCAGGTTTTGGCTGGCTTTTCTCTTGGGTTTTGATTTGGATTGTTTTTTAAAGATTAACAGTGCCTGCGTATTTTTACTGTTAAACACCCTGCGGAAAAATAAGAATTACAAAAAAAAAACCCAACCAAACAAAAAAATCATTAAAAACTACATTAAAAATATTAATGGAAGTAAATTTTTATCATTATTTTAAAGTGATAAAGACAGAAGGTTCTCAGTAATGGGTCATGTGGAGAGATAATAATAATAGTAATAACACTAGTAACGATGATGATGATGATGATGATGATGATGATGATGATGATGATGATGATGATGATGATGATGATGATGATGAACTGCCCAAAAGGTTGGTATTTTCCATAGGGATTCTTCCCTCCACAGCCTTACCTCAGCTTGTCATCAGCACACACTGTCACCACCCTGCTCCCAGTGACAGGTGAGAAGTAGGCTGAGGCCACGCTTCTCTTGTGTCCTGTGAGAGAGCTCACGGGTTTGTTCCCCTCGGCCTTCAGGTACCGAATGTCAAAAACACAAACATCCCTGCAACAGGTACCACACAACCCTAAATAATTATCCTTCATTTACCAAAAGAGCTCCAAAGCCACAGCAGGCTGTGTGGGAGCTGGTTCAGAGCTTCAATATCCACTCAAATGGTGGATCCAAGGGRTTTTGAGAGCACCAAAACCACCCCAACCAGTCCTCCATAACGTCCCTCTGTCTGCCAAAGCCCACCATGGCCCATCTGTCCCCAYTTCCAAAAGGTGAAGGGAAATCAAAGCAAATCCCACCTTAAATCCTGCTAAGAACTGAAAATTTGTTTTTTAAAAGGACCAAGACAGCTCTGACTGTACATTAAGGCTGACAAACTGCTCACCCCCAGTCTCCCCAGCACAGAGACCACTGAAAAAACAACCAGTTCAATTTGGGCTACGTACAGTGAGCCAGCAGCCATGAAATACTGTTTCTTCACAGGGTGCACGTGGACTGTCCGTGTCCTCTTGAAGCCAATGTCTGCAGARAGCTCCGAGGACATCCTCGGGGTCCTTCTGTCCACAACAGCCACATGCCCATCCCAGTGGGATATTATGGTAGTGGAGGCATTCTCTTCAAGGAAATCGAAGCAGGAGTAGTCTTCCTCACTCCTGCAGATCTGAGCCACAGGAAGGTCAAACGTCACCAGAACTAAAGGAAACACCTAGTTGTTCCTAACMCCCAAACATTCCCTGGGCTATGGGTTTCATCCTTTCCCTTTTAAATTCACTAAAAACACTAGTGCAGCACATGTGACAGCCTTACCCAGCCATGCAGGTAGCCCTTCTGTGAAACAGGGATGCTTTCCACAGGGGAAATGATTAGGAGTAATTAACCATCCAAATCAGACCAGCAACACCACACTCCAAATTCCCTGTTAGAGCYCCTACAAGGCACTGTCACCTCTGTGTTCCAGCAATCAAAGGGCTGTTGCTTTGAGCACGCACTGAGCAATGATTAAGGGTATTTTTCCATTCTCCAGTGCTGCAGAAACTTTTGATCATGTGCAGAAATGTAAACTCAGAAAYTGGGAGAACCCAGGCTGTCACTAGATTTTGGCGAGTAGGAAACATCTCCCTATTTTTGAGATGTTAATTAAAGGTTAATTCACATGTCCTTGTGGAAATAGAACTTGAACTTTCTTGCTAATAGAACAACCAAATTACTTGGCACAAGCAGACTAAACCTTCCCAGCAGAGCCACGGGGAGATTTCCTCACCTCATCAAAGACAGCCCTGGTGACATCACCACAGCGCAGAGTGTCTTTGCTGAGGGACAGCAAATGAGCAGGATTGCAGGGAGAAAAGTGCATGCAGTTGACCTGGAAGCTGTGAGGGAAGAAGATGTGGGCTCCATCCTCAGACCCGCAGCTCTGCAAAACAACAGATCCCACAGACACAGGTGCTGATCAGTAGTTATTTCTTTTCATTACTCCAACTCTTAAGGCCAAGTCTCTGGTTTTTGAATGTTTTTTAGAGGACACAGAAGGTGCTGGGTGAGAGGTGACACCAGTACAGGTAATACAGACAATAAGGCTGCTTCTGGTCCCTAATTAGGGAAAGCTACAACTTCCTGCTGCACTTAGTGCCACTGCAGCCGCCAGCCCTRGATCTGGACAGCATCACCTGGCTAGTTTTTACCCACAGAGCCTTCTCTTACATGTGCCTTTTACATAAAAATTTGGACACACTGGGTTACTGAGAGCTCAAGCTGACCCAAACTGCATCAAAGCAGAATTGCCTATATCTTCTCTTCTAAATTTTTCTCTTCTAAATAGCATCATTTTGCTATTTTAAAAGAAATGGAACAGATCATTTTGGACAAAGTTCTGGCTCATTCCACAAAGATGACTGCTCTTGAACTTCAGGAAAAAACAAGGGGGAGCAAAAGGGAAAGCCATTCTGGCAACTCTGCCAACCACCCTAGTATTATCCCTAAGAATGGAGAAAGCCTAAACACCCTCMTGAGCCTGACAAAATGCCACCCCAGGCTGTGCCCCACCTGAACCTGTTCTGAACCACACACCTGGTTCAGGCAAGGAGCACATCAACCACTCACCACATTCCAGAGGCCAACGTGCCCATACACATCTCCAGCTGCCACAAGGATGGTGCTTTCGGAAGGGTGGATGGCCATAGAACACACTCGGGATTTCACCACCTTCCTGATGTTCTCCTCACTCAGCACCATGCTGCTCAAGCTCCGCTGGTACCTGCAAAACCAAAAAAAACAACAATCACCAAAATGTTCTTTAGAGAAGGAAGGAGGGCCAGACAACACCCAGTTTTGGCTGCTGTTTTCACATTACCTCTTTATGTCAGGTGTGACCCTGTCAGCATCATCCACTTTCACCTACAGACAGAAAGGAGATATTTATCAGAATCAGTGCCCAAATGAAATTGTATTATCCAAAAGTAACCAGTTAAACTAACAATACCTCACTTATTCTCATCCACGTGCTAAGTATGGCCTCTGTCCATTTACTGTCCTTTGCCTGATCCTCTGGAACCATGGGAAAAGGTCCAACTGGAGCCTGAGGCTGGGATGACATTGGCAATTTTTGTATCTTAAATGAACTAAAATCACAAACAGGGTGAAGCAGTACTTTCCACCCACCAGACATTTTGAAACATGTCTACGATAGGACAGGAAATAAACAGTAAAAACAGGTGGTATCATAACCTTTTTAAAAAGATAAGGAGAATTTCACTGGCAGCATAAACTGCCTCCCCTTAGGTTTCTTCCTCTCCTGATACTCCAGCAAGACCTGTACTACAGATTCAGATCTATTCTATAGCTCCACAGAAGATCTAAACTCCCATCTCTCAGAACACTTACTTCTTGTTCCATCACTGCTTCAAAGAGATGGTATGTATTTCCCAGGAAAATAAACCAGATCAGAAGACACAGAGTAATAAATATTTCAATGTAAGGCTGCTCAGCTCCCTAGGCTGTTAATGTGGAATGTTTACCTCAGGATCCTTCTGTGGATCCCCAACTGCACCAAACAATCAGCCTGGATCACAGAGCATTGCCTGGCTTGTGGCAAGGCTGTGGCACCTGCTCAGAGTGACAGAATTGACCCTTTCTTACTGTCCCTGTGTCACCACATCTYAAATGCCTCAGGGTTCACAACACCTAGTGCCACCCATCAGTGTCACCAGCACTGGTTTTAGAGAACAGCTATGCACACACACCCCCTCCAGCCCTTACCCAGCTCGCATATTCCTCTGCTGCTGGCCGGGCAGGCGTCTCCAGCAATGGAATGTCCAATGGCTCCACTCTGAGCAGGCGCCTGGATCGYCGCGGGAGTGTTTCATCCTCCACCTTTTTAGGCTTGCGACTGCAACAATGAGAACATTTCAGTTACACAACACCAGTCCCTGCATTTAGGGACAGACCCGAGGGCACAGCTGGGACATCAGCCCTTTCTGCCCACTGCAAGAGGGATGGGGTTGCTTTTCCCATCAGYGACAGTGAGGAACAACACCACGAGCACTTTGCAATGCTCACACAGGTCCCACATCTCTGTTTCCTTGTAATATACCCCACCACTGTAATATACCCTTCTCAGGTCTCCTCCTTTATTATCCATCCTGCCACTCACCAACCAAGCTGGCCATTCCCACCTCCTCCCATCACACAGTTTATTCTTTATTTGGGCTTCAGCTTATTTTCTGCTGGACCCTGGCACTGTTTCGGCACTGCCAAATGTCTTCTCTGTGTTTAYTGGTTACCCTCTCCCTTGCACCTTGTTCATGCCCTCTCTTTTTTTTCCCCATACCTTTTCCCAACATTTGTTTTCATCCCACAAWGAAGGATCAAGGATTTAAATCTCACCTACTATTATTTTACCTTTTGGTGACATGAAATTTCCTTTTAGTTGCAATTTGTTTAAGTCTTGCAGCTGACTTAAAGAGAAAAAGAGATTAATTATATCTATAATGACCATAAAGGACTAACCAGTATAAAATACAATTATCTCAAGGCTGCAGTTAACTTACTGCAATTATTTATAATAAGGAAAGTTGTGGTTGCCCCAACCCTGGAAGCATCTAAGGCCAGGCACGGGSGCTTGGAGCAGCCTGGTTTGTGGAAGGTGTCCCTGCCCATGGCAAGGGGTGGAATGAGAGGGGCTTTAAAGTTCTTTCCAAATATTTCAGGATTCCGGGACTTTAATGGTTTTCCTCACACATCTGCTCCAGTGAGGGAAGGGTTTCACACCAGGAGGGATGACAGTGCAATTATGACACTTAAAAACAGAATTTTGACGATATTAAACTCTATACAAACCTCATGCAACTTTAGAGCAGCAAAGAATTTAGCATTTTCTGTAATGTTCTTTAGTCTTTTCCTTTCATAAGCTGATAGGTCGGAGTATCCATCCTGCAGAAAGGAAAAACAATTCTCTCCACCACACAGCTACATGTCTGCAACAGAGGTCCCAGGCTTAGGGAAGTGAGTTTCTCAACGGATAAATTATTTTAAAGTGGTTTGATATATTTGTAACAAACACAAAACCATAATAATTGGGGTGGTCATGTATAAGCATCAAAATCTGTCTACTGGGTTCAGCTTGCTTTACAATATTTACATTGGCATTAACTCTACGAAAAGTGTTATCACATTTTTTTAATAATGAAAACGATAATGAAGAGATTCAATAAAGAACTTAAAACTCCAGTGAAAGGGTAAAATGAAGTTGGACACTGCCAGCCAGAGGCTGAAAAGGGGAAAAAACTACATATAGAGAAAAAAAAATCCACTTTAAAGCTTTACTTTTATATAGATAATAACCAGGGCCCAGGTACTCACCGGTGCCACTTCTCCCGCGTCGCTGCCGTCGCTGTCTGCATCCCACARCCCGTCAGGGCCGCGGGCAGCCGAGCTGGGGCCAGGCGGGGACCCGGGGRCTGCTCTGGGGCCGGTGCCGGGTTCCGGGCACGACTTCTTGCCGGCCGGGGCGGGGGTCCCCGCGGGGCTCAGCAGCCGCTTCTGGGGCCGCGGCCAGGCCGCCGCGGGCAGCGGCGTCAGCAGCACCCGGAGCTGCCGCCCCGGGCTCAGGGCCGCGATCAGATGGGACTCTGGCGGGGCCGAACGGGGCTCGGCGGGGTCCGACGGGAGGGACTCCTCAGGGGGCGATCGGGGCTCGGCGGGGCCCGACGGGAGGGACTCCTGAGAGAGCGAATGGGGTTCGGCGGGGAGCCCCGACACCCCCGGGCCCTGAACCCTGGCCGCCACGGCCGCGACCCCGCCCGCCCCGCTCCTCAGCGCCCCCGCTTTCCCCGTTACAGCTCCCCCTTTCCTCTCGGGTCTCCTCTCTCCTGCCAGACTCCGCTGGCTCGTGGCCCCGGCCCCTCTCCTCACACCCCGGCCCCCCCCTCGGCCCCCTCTCCTCCCGACCCCTAGTCCCCTCCCATCTCAGCCCGCGTCTCTCCCGGCCTCTCTCCGCCCAGCCCCGGCTGTGCCCGCGGTCCCGGACCTGCAGCTGCTGCCGGGAGTGCAGTGACGGCTCCTCGGGCTCCCCGGGCAGGGACAGCGCCATGGCGCGCGCGGGGCGGGGCGGGGCAGCGCTTCCCGCCCGCAGAGGGGCGGCCCGGGCGCGCTCCCGCCCTCAGCGCCTCAGCGCCGTCCCGCCCGCGGCACCATCCGGGCAGCGGCTGTCGCTGCCGCCGGGCACGGAGAGATGCGATAATGGAGATAAATTCCTCCCTGTGAAGGGGGAGGAGGCCCTGACACAGGGTGCCCAAAGAAGCTGTGGCTGCCTCTGGATCCCTTGAAGTGTCCAAGGCCAGGGTGGACGGAGCTTGGAGCAACCTGGSATAGTGGAAGGTGTTCCTGCCCACCCCATGGCAGGGAGTGGAACGGGATGAGCTTTAAGGTCCCTCCCAAGCCCAGCCACCTGGACTCGTTGCCCAGAAAGAGCGGATGAAATCCTCGGCTCCAGTCAAGCACGGCAAGGGCCCGTCCCTGCCCTGCCCGGCGCTCTGTGCCCTGCCCTGCAGGCACGGCTCCTCTCACCCCGCACCGGACACACGCAGTGTCCTGAGGGAGGAGGGACAGCGGAGCCAAGGGCAGCTCCCAGGCCCTGTGCCATGGCACTAACACGATCACGGTTTAAGAAGAAAAAAAACATAACTGCAAAAAAGCATACCCAGGGAAAGGCTGGGCACCCCCAGTTCCAGGAATTGGGGAATCAAAAGGAAAACATTCATTACCTTCTGCTTCCCAACCCTCTCTATCCAGAGGAGCACCCCAGCAAGGGAGGACAGGCAGCCACAGCTCGAACACATGCATCTCCCAGTATCTGTGCTCCCACTTGTCCCTGAAGGGGCTGTAAAGCAGGATCACAGGCTTGAGGGTCACCAACAGAGAAGGGTTTCTAGAACCACTCAGAAGTAGAAAGGCCCAAATAAACTGACAAGTAAAAAATATTTATTTAATGTGAGCTTTTGTACCCGACAAATACACAAGTCCCAGAAGGTTCAGCAGCAGCAAATAAAACAAAAATTTAATAAACAGTGATTCCATCTGGGGGACTTGGCTTCATCCAGTAATTGCATTTCCCAGTTAGAATATGGAATACGAAGGCTGAAGGAAACTTCTGGATTTGGGTTTGGGCAGTGCCATCATGCCCAGCTTCCCAGCAGCTCCCTGCGTGGCACCAACGCTGCTGGACACAAAGCTGGCGCCAGAGGAAGCCGGAGCCTTCGAGCTTGGCAGCTTCTTGGTCCTTCTGTACCTGCCGTAGCCACTGCAAAAATCAGAAAAGGTGTGTGTGACACACCTGTGTCACTCACCCTGTCCCCTGCACCAGCTTGCACTCACTGGCATCACCATTCCATTTTCTAGAGGACTACACACTCATTGTAAATTTTTTCTCTAAACACATAYGGCTGCAAATGTACCTCTGAAATGCAAACAGTAGAGCTGTTACTCYGGCTGTGCCCAAGCATGAGCAGCAACAGCAAGTGACACTTCAGTCAGCAGCAGTTAATGACAGATATTCTAGTAGATGGGAAAGTGCCAAGGGTGGRACAAAACCTGCTGAGCTGGGAAAAGCCATTTGCTACAAAAGCAAGGAGCAGAGTGATAAAAAATGGGGCAGGGAAGAGGAAATCTTCAGGAAGTAGCAGATCTGCCCTCGAAGCTCAAGACCAACCAACATGCAGATGTTGCCTTGCATGATCAGAGAGGAAATTTGAATTAAGAAGGGTCTGAAGTTCAAATATTCCACCAAATGTTCAAAGTTTTAAGACCTCTTTATGATTTCAAACAAGGAATCTGGTCAGCCTGCTAATGCTGACTATGACAAAACACTGAAATTTAGTGTCCCTGCTTAGCCTGTGGCAGTCAAGTGTGAGGACARCTGTTAAACATCTTTCCTCACCAGCTTTTTAAACCAAACATGCAGAAAAGCACAGCAGAGTAGTTCTTACCAGGCACCTGAATAATTTCAACACCATTATTTAAGCATATACTCAAGAAACTGCAGTGGGATAATGCAGTTCTGGGACCATCACCATGCTGATGTGGACAAAGAGAAGTGACACGTGACCACAGGCACGTACCCTCTGGAGTGAAACTGTTGGCTGCCACCAKCACTTGTCCTTTTCCTCTTGGAGTCCCTGGAGTTTGGCAGCCGTTTCCTTTTCCTCCTTTGGTTTGTGTTATTGCCAAAATAGCTGGAGGTTGTACCTTCGTCCTCTGCTTCTCCATCGCTCCCCAGCGAGSCAGGGCTCCCCGTGGCTGTGTCCGCACCTGGGCAGGCAGCATCTTCTACAGACAGGCAGGGAGGTAAAACTAACTCAATCAAGGTATCATCTGGGCCAGTCAGACTGTCACCAGAACACACTGATGGCATCAAAACATCTGTCCTGGCTATTCCACACTTCCTCTGCACTGCCCCGTCCCCAGTCTTTTGGAGATACCTGAATTTAGCTAGTGGGAAGGTAGCAATGACTTTGGTATGTTCTGAAAGTGATTGCTCCCTTTTGCAATTACAAAATTGTAAGAATTAGTTATTTGTGATTAAAACCAGGTATTTTTTGAATCAAACTTCTGCTAGAGGAAGAGAGAAGGGCACTGAACAGGAAGTACATGTTGAGGTACAAAGCTCACCTGGGATGGAGTGTTCGGAGTATTTATCCATCACTTTAATTATTTCTGCACCATATTTCTCCAGTTTGTCTTCTGTGACACCATCGATCTGCAGCAAAACTTCCATGTCTGAGGACAAGGTTTCTGTAACATAACAAAGTACCCTCTTAGACATGTCAAACAAATAACTTTTTATAAAGATACCCAGAAGGAAATTAATTCCTTTTTGTGTTCCCCTATGCAGAAGCCCCAAAGGATTTCTGAGAAACCTGACCTTACCTGCAATTTTCTTTAGGGTGGAAGTACTGAAAATATTGAAGTAATGCACATCAAAGACTTTGCCCAGCGTTTTGCAAGTATCTGTAAGTTCACTGAGGCACTGTTTAACCATCTCTTCCCGCTGRGACATCTTTGCCATGGAAGCCTTTTGCCTTCTGATGGCTGTGGCACTCTCTGTCTCGTGGAACTCCACCTGTTAAAAGGGGCCATCCATAACTCCTGCCAGGGAGTTACTGCAYACCTTGACTGCAGGAACACAGCACAGGAAACACAGTATCCTTTGATGGACCWAAATAAGCTGTTTACCCAGTATGCATTTTAAAAATCATTTTTTACAGGCTACTCAACCACCCCCAAGTTTCCTCTACAAAGAGCTGGCAGAGTTTAGAAAGAAGAAAACCTCCCARGAGCCCAGTCCCCAGATGGCTTCAAATAGAGGTCACTGGGGTAATGCTGAGGGCTCAGCCCTGCTCCAAACACAGCACTAATGCAAGGAGGCATTGCCTCAAGCAACCTGGGACTGTTCTRTGACCTTCCTGAAGTGCATCTTCCATCAGATCTCACCAATGACTAGAAAAAATAGAGCAGAAAATGCAGAAGGGTGTCCTGTTCATTCTTTCCTTCCTAGCCAGCTTTCTGTGAGGGTCAGAACTTTCCTTCACTGTCCAGCAGGAAGCAGATGGGTGGGGGAGAAGAGAAAGATTTAAACCTCTCCAAGCCTCTCAAACTCTCTTTTTGCCCCCCATTACTACTGGAATACTGGACTAGGAATCATATGTGTTGGATTCTGCTCCCTGCATCTACTAGAGGTTAGTTCAGCTGGAGGCAAAACTGTGTTTAGCTACCCAGTAATATGCTTCAGAAAAACTGCAGCACCTTTCTTAAAACAATATCTTCAAGAAACTAAATCTTTACACACCTGTAGTGACCCATTCAGCACAGCCTGAGCTCTCTCTCCAAGAATGACATACGCCACCGCTTGGTCATTAGCTGTGATGTACAAATCCTCATCCAGGATCCTGTCCAGCACCAGTTTTCTAAACAGCCTTTCAGCATTGTGCCTGGAATAGGCAGCCCCCTTCCCAAATATTCCAGACTGAATCTTGGCACTCGTTGAACCTGTGCAACAGAAAGCATAGGATGAGCCCATGATCACAAGGCCCGTGTTCATGTGCATTTACAGAYCTGTGGGAGATTCCCAAGGCAGTCTATTCACATTTTAAAAAGCCTTTAGACACCAGAAAACCAGTATTATCACTAYAGCAACCTGAAATGGATTAAATACTCAGTTTCATTTATTTTGGACCACTYACCATCAAGAGATTCTTGGGAAGATTAATTTTGCAAAATACATATTCTTTTAACTGCCTGCTGGCATYGCACAACASTCCTRATTCCCAGTCAGGGCTCTGCACCARATTATTCAAGAGTTTCCAGAACAGACTCACCTAAGAAAATGTCCACCATCATGTTCAGGGTGTACCTGCCAGAGCCTGGATTCCTCTTCCCATTCATCCGYCCTGCTTGCCTGCAGTGCTCTTGTACAAACCGCACAATGCTCTTCACATCCTCGGTCACATTCCTTGATTTATAATCCTGTTAAAYCAGACTTGATTAGGACATGCCATTATGTGTTTCTGCCCTAATCCATGTTGACAACCTCAGTTGTCATTATTGAGCTTTTCTCAGCTGTGAATTGAGTTTGTTCCAAATGAAGAAACAGTGATTTCCAAGTTAGCAACCCACAGTGATACAGTCACAGGGATTCAGGATGTGATAATACAAAACCAGTCCAACTGATTGCACATAATCTCCATAGTGTTATTTATGTAGAGTGAGGTGCAAGATTGATGGGTAAATACTGCAAACCAAGGTAAATAATACATTCTTGTAATTAGCCTGCCATGCTCTGGAATCTACATTTCCAAAATGCATTAAAATGAGACTGAATATGCATTATCCTGGTCAAACTTGGTCCCATCTCAGCTTTAATAAATGGAATGCTTCAAACACGGGGCTGAGAAGCAATATTCACAGGTACAAAACTGATCAGGATCCCTTCCCTGCCTGCCTCTACAGAAGCCTTCCCTTCTGCYCCTGCCACTTAAGTTTGCATAAGCACAAATGTTTGGGCCACCTCTAGCAGTGCACGCCTAATGAGGTCTTCATGCTGCTCTGGAAGCACAAAGCTGCCCTGAAAACATCAGAATGGGAACTGAAGGGATTTCCCCATAGCCATTGCAGTGGATCTGATATTAGCTCCTGCCTCCCACAAGGAACATCCTTGTGCCTCTCACAGGAGCATCACAAGTCCATGGTTAAAGCCTGAAAATAACTGGAAGCATCAGAAAAATATAGGACATTTATTGCTTTTCTCCTTCCCAAAGGTCATGTACCCATTTTTTGATGCAACTAAATACAAAATCAGTTTAACATCACTACCAGTAAAACCTGTGGGGTTTACCTTCTTTCTACTGCAGTTATCACAAATGACTTCTGGGTGATCTTTGCAGAAGGTGGGGTTGAAATTGATTTCCCCAAAGTAGGCGAGCAGCTGGACGCGGCGGCACTCGACCACATTCTCACAGTAGTGCACCATGCTGTACAGGTTGTTGAAGTGGGTCTGCCTAGTGTGGCTGTTCCCATCCTTCTCCACTGAAACACAGTTCATTCAATGGTGTTTGTTAGAGCTGCACCTTTGCGTTTCCATGGACTGTCAGCCAAAACACAATACTGGCTTTGGTTAAAAAAAAGATGAGCGGGTTAGTACAGAACTGATGTAGAACAGATGTTATCTCTGAAGTTCTAGAAAATGGAGAAGGGAAATAAGCCTAGAATGACAAGAGTCAAGCRAAGGGCATGTGTGACAGGATGAGAGGAAGTGGCCTCAAGTTGTGTSAGAARAGRTTTMRATTAGGTATCAAGAACARATTCTTCATGGAACGGATAGCAMAGCCCTRGCASAGGATGCCCTGGATGGAGTCACCATCCTTGGAAGTAATTAAAAAAACATGTAGATGTGGCACTTGAGGACATGCTTCAGTGGTGAACAGGGGGGTGGAGTTGGTCCAACAGTTGGACTAGATGATCTTAAGGTTTTTTCCAACCTTAACAATTCCATGATTCTGTGAAGCAAAGTGGTTTTGACTAAAATTAAGTAAAGTGACAAAAATCCTGCTCTTGCTACCTGAATGAAAACCATCCTGGTAAGGATTCCCAGTTCTCCCCACTTTGCAACACTGAACTATCCATGGCACTTGTAAAAGAGAAATAGCACAGGCTAAATGAGACTAGTGACAATGTGACCGCTGTAATGTCATCTCCAAGTTCCCAGAAAACTCACTCAGGATAAGCCTTCTCAGCCTGGTCACATCGCTGTAGCTGTAGAAGAGCAGGCAGTGAGATATCTCTCCATCCCGYCCAGCTCTGCCAGACTCCTGGTAGTAGCCTTCTATGGATTTGGGAAGGGATGCGTGGATAACGTAGCGCACGTCAGGTTTGTCAATGCCCATTCCAAAGGCAATTGTTGCACATATCACCTGGGGAGGAGATTATAATGCTCTAGACATACATTACGGAAATTATTCTTGCAGCACTGCATGGAAAGCAGGCAAGTAACCTGGATTAGGGAATCTGGAGGACCCAGAATGTCCAGCTGTAAAATTGATAAACAAGTACCAAACAGCAGCACCTCCCCTCCTGTTAGAGGAGCCACTCCAGACACAGGGAAACCCCAAATTCCAGTCTCTGCACAGCAGCATGCCAAGAGCTGTTTCTGAAGCTCTGAACTGCGCAAGTCCACCCTGCTGGAACAGCACCCCTTTTATTATTAAAATTCCCAATWAAAGGTGGCTGCTGTGCCCCAGCAGCTCTGTTGGGATCATTTATTCAATACTGCAGACATTTGGTGATAACATTGCACAACTTCCCTTTCATTTTCCAGACCAAGAGGAAAAAACGTGCCCAAATATTCTTCCCTTCTCCTCCCAAAACTCTCTTCCCTTTTCCTCTCAGTTTCCCTTCACCTGGCATCCTTCCTGATTAACCCACTTCTGCTGCACAAGATCCCTGTTGGAATCRGTGAGGCCAGCATGGTAGGCCAGGGCAGCCAGCCCCTCCTTCTGCAGGATGGCTGCTGTGGTGTCACATTCGTGCCGGGAAAGGCAATAGATTATTCCAGAGTCATCTGCAAAGAGATGGGAAAAGAAATCTGAGCTATAATACAGCTTTATTCCCTTTCACTTGCTCCACATTCAGAACTACCAAGCAGATACTGACCTTTCCCTACTGGAATAAAAGTAAGAGTAATGATATAACTGCTTAACTATAGAGCTTATTTTATTAATATCAGATAGTCTTGATACTTTTTCCTACCCAAACTTTTGGGGCTTTTGGTGAGGTGGAATAAAGAAATGTTTTCCTCATGAGTATTGTGCATTCTCAGGATTTAGAATATATGAACAAAAAAWATATAATTCAAGAGTTAGAGCAGTTAAGTCAGTGCTCCCTGAGAGTACAGAACTGGAGAAGCTCTGAGGGGAGCTTGGTGTAGTCCAGTTATAGGAAGAGTTGCAGAACTCCAAAGTGGGCCTATAAAGATAGGAATCTCTTAATATAGTTTCAAGGAGAACTACAGATAAGCAGTTAAGCAGATAAGCAGACCAACACAATTAAAMAATTAAGATATTGCATGACCTTTATGCTCTGAAGACATGATGCTAAAAACTCTGGTAGGCTCCAGAAAAGTTACTCAAGAGCATGGCCATAATTTACTTTTCCATTTTAAATTGAATTYTTATCTTTAGAATGCACATAAATCTGATTCCCATTTTCAATATCATCACTTTACCTYCAACTTGCTTTTCTTGTAAATATATCTTTATTACAACATTATAAAAGCTTTTGCCTTCTTGAGAAGTGGCTCACGAATAGGCCTGTGAGCAGTGTGCTGCTCAATACTCACGGGGATGATACTTTTTAATCCATTCCAAGCAATCCATCGCCACCTTCTTTGGCTTCTTGGGCAACACATCATATTTCAAGTTATGCCTGTTGAAGCTCATTGTAAACCTGAAATGTGACAGTTCATGATTCTCATCAGCCTTATGGGTTTTGTGTTAAACAGCTTCCTTCATCATGTGAGGAAGGGTTTGGCACGTTTTTTAGTTCTTACTTTAATATTTTGCATATACCTYCTATTATGCATTTCATGTCTCAAATACAGCTACACAAGGATTTCAGAAGGGCCTATGATGCTTTTTTTACTTTTCTAAGTTTTCCACTCAAAATGTCAGTGGCACAAACAGTTTCAGAAACCAGCTGAGCAACTCACACTTGCGGTTTCAGCATCTCGAGCTGATTTAGGATATCCTTCTGCACACGGGGATTGGCAGTGGCAGTGAGGGCCATCATGGGCACAGAGTGGAACTTCCTGCGGAGCATGTTCAGGCGCTTGTAGTCTTGTCGGAAGTCATGGCCCCACTGGGTGAAAAACAAAATTTAGGTCTACCAGAGTAAAATGCTCCAATTATGTCTTTTGGAATTCCTAAAAACAAGTGGAGGTTTTACCTGGCTGACACAGTGGGCCTCATCAATGACAAAACGGGCCAAGAGTTTCCTGTCGTAGAGGTTCTCCAGGGCGGACATCAGTCGGTTGCTGGCACACACCTGGGACACACCACCAGTAGCATTGGGAAGCAAAATACCTGGGCTAAAAGTGTCACCTGGCCAGACTGAGAATACAGAAACAACTGTCCTACACTGCAAAATCAACTTGCACTACACAGGTGAATCTTCAAAGCACAGAGATTATGCCAGTCAGCTGCATTTTAACAAAGCAGCTCGTGTGGGATTCCCATGAGGTTCTGGGATCACCTATCCAGAGGATGCTTGTTCTGAGGAAATTTCAGTAAATTTAAATGACTTATGTCAGTAAAGATGGGGAAAGATAATGCTGAAGAAAGACACAATCAGCACACTAACCAGCCCCCTCTTACAAAACTCTTGTGCAATAACGTATTTTTAAGGCAGCATATAATGAAGCCCAAGGCAAGTTCTAACAATCTCCTATCACCTTGACAGTGCTGTATTTTTCCTGTATTACCATATTCAGCACAGTCTGGATTTTSTAGCTGCTGGACAGTGATTAACAATACTATGTAGCAAGATAGATTGAAATAGGTAAGCATGGGAGTTTGTTTTAAGAATTTACATTGTACAGATATACTCAGTTCTCATTCTTGGCTGATTACTGACTGAAATTAGCTACAGSCATATAGATTCTTACTGAATTATCTAAAAACTGTCCACCATTTTTTTCCCCAGAAAGCTACTCTGAGTGCAATATTTTAACACCTCACAGCAATTCCATTCTCACAGCCCCATGGTTTTACAACTGAAGATGAAGTACAGACCTTCTCGGGGGTGACATACAGTAGCTTTATSACAGGATCTTTCTTTGACAACTGCATGTATATTTTTGAGGCATCAGCATCTGTTCTGTCACCAGTCAGGTAAGTTGCAGCAATCTGTATTAACAATATATAGAAATATATATATTGAGTTTTAATATGTGCAAAACAGAAGAACCGCCATTATTTGCTGCAGAGCCAGGCTGCTCAATTTAKGGGAGTAATTACAATTCTCAGGACCTCAGAATCAGCATCTGCTCTGGAAAACACAGCTCTGACATCCAACACACAGGAGCAGCAATAAATCCAGCAGTCACATTGCCAAGACATCCAAGTTCATCCAATTTAGTTCTTCCCAGGCAACTTTTTGTGCTGTTCACAGCATCCATCTAATCAATTTATGCAGTTTATATTCAAGAGATGCAAGATTTGCTGTAAAATTTCAGATTTCTAATCCAGTTACCTGCAGTTTCACTGAATAAAGCAGCTGGAACTTACATCTAAAGTCTTCAGCTTCTGAACCTGATCAATGATCAGTGACCTCAGTGGAGAGATAACAATAGTGACCCCAGCAGAGACACAGGCTGGTAACTGGTAGCACAAGCTTTTCCCWCCTCCTGTGAAGATGAGACAGAACACAGAAGTGTTGAATATCAAGAGAAAACGGATGGAGACCTGTTTCTTACTTTCCATTTTACAGCACTTTTGGAAACAATGAATTTCTACCAACACCTGCCACGAAGTGATGCCCGTAGGACAAGAAAGAGCTACCATGTGAATTATTGTGGAAGGCAGAAATTCAATCCCCTCACTCAAAATAATCCAGTGCAACAATGCTCCYGAAATCCTGCAGCCACAGAATTCCAGCAGCACAAGGGAAGAGAAAAGCTTRTCCCAAAGCTTACAAAAGGAGCTGCAGGCCTATACACTGTGCTGTGAGAGAATGTACCTGTGGGCATGAGGATGAAACAATCTTCCCCCAGCAGAGCAGCATTGATGGCCTCCAGCTGGTTTGTCCGGAAACAGTGCAATCCAAACTTTCTGTGAAATATATTCATCATTTCTTYAGAATGGAGAAATTTCATACCCCTGAAACGCTCCAGTGCAGGGTTATGAACCACTGGATCTGGGAGACAAAAAAATGTATGAAGAGTAAGTTATGACATCAAGTTATGGAAGAAATTGTTCCCTGTGAGGGTGGAGGAAGCCCTGGCACAGGGTGCCCAGAGCAGCTCTGGCTGCTCATCCCTAGAAGCATCCAAGGCCAGGCTGGATGGGGCTTGGAGCAACCTGGTATATTGAGAGGTATCCCTGCCCATGCAGGGAGTGGAACGAGATGTTTTTTATGTTCTCTTCCACTCCAAACCTTTCTGTGGCTCTGATTTTCACCTCCCCTTTCACCAACATATTCCTACCTTAACCTGAAATGACACTGATCAACCCTAGCCCCAGGGGGTCTGAGTTTGCTTCCACAAACCCATTTTAGAAYATGCAGTGAAAACCATTTAAAATTTGAATTAAAAACTGCAGAATCATTATTTAACTAAAACACAGAAACACCCTCATTTCCAATTTTAGCAGCTTCCAGAAGCCTGAAACCTGTAAAGGAAGGGAATATTCAAATTTGGCATCACTGGAAGAGAAAAAAAAACCAAGATGACTTTGCAAAAAGGAACCAAAAGAAACTTCCACAGAAACAAAAGGCATTGATRTGAACTGTGGTAATTACTTGATCTTAGATTTAAAAAGAAATAAGAATTTAAAAATGGAAAAACCCAATAATCCTCATATAATTTACCTGGATGATTCTTTGTTGCCATCAGGGAGCCTGGCTTCAGAGCAGCAGGATTGGATCCCACAKCCGACCCTTTGGCCCTGGACATAATCTTGGACAAGAGGGATTTGGTAGGTGGCCCTTCCCTGATGGGCTGACACAGAGGTGTCGATGGTGCCTCAGATGCTGAAACAGCCACTGAGCTCTCCCAGTCCTCATCCAAATCGTCGATGTCAAAGTYATCCAGGTCGAAGCTGGGATCATTTGTACTGAAGCTGCTCCCTGCAGGACTGGCAGTGAGAGCTGTGCTCTGAGCCCTCAGGGCTGTGCTGGTCAGGGGCTGGTTCCCATTCCTCGTTCCCGGAGTTTTATCCCAGCTGCTGTCACAGGACTGGAGGCTGAGCCTGTGGGAACCTCSCTCCCTGCCACTTCCCTTGGGAAAAGACAGTTTTGCAGTTCCTGGGGAGGGGATCTCCTCAGCACTCTGCTTTGAAGCACAAGAGGTGTCCAAGGTTTGATTTGTTTTGATAGAAAAGTTGTTGGAATAGAYAGAAAGCACTGATGGGAGGTTTGTKGATTTGGGGGAATTTCTGTCAGAACTGAAGCTCCAGCTTGAACCAGGACTTGGACCAGCACTACAACAGGCACGAGGGCCCTGCTCCATGGAAGGCTTCCAGCTTCTAGCAAAAGTGGTGTTTATGCCATTTTGGTTCACACTGACAGAATTAGCCAGCAGCTTTCTCCTGGGAGAGATGGCAGGGGAAAGAAGAAGGAAAAAAAATATATTTAGTCACAAGCAATGATTTACCAAGTTCTACAACATTCATTAAACAGTTTTGTCTCACTACCATTAAACATATTAACATATGGTGGTTCCATRATGTTCTGAGTCACCATGTTTGAAAATTATTTCAAATAAGTCTAGGCAATAGAAAATACCACCAGAAGAAAGTAATGACAAAATTATGACATCATCTCTACAGACATAAAAGAGTTACTAAAAGCAAGGAACGGACCCAGGCAACATAGAATATAAAAAATAAATCCTCAGAGGCAAAGCCTGAAGTTAAAAACGTATCTGAAACAAATAATGTTTTTAAGTACTTTCTAAAGACTGTCTGACTATAGCAATGAGAAATAAAACAAGTTGTTGTATTGGGAACATTTACAGAAGCTCACAGTCCCAGTCCAGGAAAAATCTAACCAAAATCCCAAATCCTAACACTTTTTCTCTGTATTGTGCCATCAGATGACACAGGAGGCAATGCAGCAGGTTGTGGTAGCAGTAATTACATTGGAAGATGGCAAGTTCAGGGATATTAGAAGTCACCATCCCTGCCGTCAGCAAGAGGAGAGATAATACCAARTGAATGCCTGTGGCACGTGAACCAAGGAGGACACCTGGCAGGTCACATCATCACATCACATCACATCACAATCACAATCTGTTTCTCCAGAAGCACCTGGTGCCAGGCACCTCCTCAGACTGACTGTGCAACTGGATCTTTCCATCTGGCAGAACACAGGGGCTGCTAACACTTGCAGCATTTTGGGATGTTTTGTCCATTCCCTCAGTCAGTAATTTCAAGCTTTTTAAAGCCCCTCCTGCCTCATTCTCCAGTGTGCTGGGGACACCTGCAGGCAGTTCTCTGCTCCACACAGAGCGGTTCCAGCCTACCTGAGGTCCCTGTGCTGGAGCAGGGCTCTGGCACAGCCCAGGGCTTGCAGCTCCTGCAGGGGGATGGCATCCACCAGCTCACAGATGGCCTCCATGACTCCGTACAGCTGCCGGGCCACAGGCACAGCTTCACCTGCCACAGGGACCAAGTCAGTACTGTCATTTTCATTAGAATATGTGTCCAGAGGATACCACTCTCCCAGAGAACAGTACATTGCAGTAAGTCAGTCTAAATAATTTACTTACAAGATATTTTTAGTTCATTTGCATAAAGAAATTGTTTCTGTGTGCAGCAACTCAACAAATCTACATATTTTTGCTCTTGTCTTTTATTATCTGTCCATAATTCATCTACTTGTCAATTCCCCATCTATAGATGCTAATTCTCCATCTGTTAGTTCATGCTCTTGGACTACACAGGATAATAAACAGTTGCAAACTATCCCCAAAATCRGAGATATGAAATTCCAAAACATTTTGTTTACCTGAATCCCCTGCACTGGGATCACCTCCAGGATGTGTTGTGGGAACCTTCTCCTGCCTGGCCTCAGAGCTGCCAGCCATGGAGCTTCCACCAGTGGGAGAGTCTCTGAAAATACTGGTAACACCAGACAAAAAACCCGTTAAAATATTTGTAAGTTGAGGCATTTCCATGGAACAACAGGATTTATGATGTCTGTAAAATATAAATTCCTGAAAGCTCAGGTAGAACCCAAGAGTTGAGCAGTCACTCAGAATCTTACCCCAGTGATTTTTTCCCATCCCACTACAAAATTAACTTGGCTTTTTTTTTTTTGAAGGGAAAGCCACCTAAAACACCAGCCATAAAATTAATATTTGATAAAACATTAATTGCAGCTGCCAATCATTGACCTGCCAAGCAACAGAGTGACATAAGCTTAATCTGTACCTTTTTAACAAGCAGTTTCAGGTATTTTCTGGTACTTTTCTAATCATGCAACAAACAGATGGTTTTAGCAGTGAACTCTGATTACCTGACACTTTGTACAGAAGGGGAAAAGGGAGGCAGCTCCTCCTCAGGGGAGGGAGGGATGATGTCCAGGTCATCCTCCTCRAACTCAGCAGCTGCCAAGGACTCGGTGACCTCATCCAGTTCTGAGGGGCTGTTCTCAGCCCTCGGGGGCTCCTGGCCCTGACCACCTCCAGCACCTGCAAGAGAAATGGATTAATATTGCTGGGTAGCACCGTACACTCACCCTGCTACAAACAGACAACAAGAAAAATTAGCAGCCAGATTTCAAAACATACGTTTGATACAGTTTCTGACTTTTAATGCACAAAACTTACTGCCCCCTTTTCTCCCCCATTAAAAACAGACAAAATCCCACAAGCACTCATTTAAGTGGAAAACTGATACAGCTGAATTTACAAACACCTGTCCCTGGCAGAAGTGAAACAATGAAGAGGTCAATTTTTCTGCAATAGTTTTCTATATGAAAAAAAAACTTCTATAAAAACTTATTTCTGTAAAAAGTTCATATTATTTTAAAACCTAGCTTTAAAAGAGTGCAGACTCATCAGCAGGCATAGTCCTTGTACCGGAACTGGAAGGTAAATGTATATGCATTGTGTTTTAAAAGATAAATTCTACCAAGAAAGGTCAATATCATTAACTTATTAAAATCAATTTCACAGAGAAAGGAAAAGAACAAACTAATCAGGACATAAATAAAGTTCACAAATCTGTTCACCATTCAGTTCAAGGGCAGCATCCCAGAACACTCTTTGATGTTATTTAGTTGTATTAACATGTTAATTTCCCAAATGAAGGTCCAGTTTCAAAACACAGCAGGTAAGGAATCTGAAMTAGAGCAGTACTGTGGAACAGAGCTGCCAAAGCAATGGCAGGCAGGAATTTTGTGATCATAATTGAGGGTTGGTAGTTCTTTTGTGGTGCTTATTATATTTGTGTTAAATATGCAGAAAGATMACTTTTTGTGTTTCAATATTTCATTTAGATATAAGATGACCAGACAAGGCCTCTGTGTGCAAACAGATTTTCTTCCAGCTCAGTAGGACCTTTAAATAACTCTTTACCTGGGCGATCCCCTGCGCTGTCGGCATCCAGAAGGGGGTCAGCAGGTGACTCCTCTCGAAGGCTGTCCCTCGCAGCCGCGCTCCCGCCACAGGGATCCGAGTCCTCGAGGCAGATCACGGACTGCTGTGAGCAGGATTGCTGCTCGGCCTCCGGCGCTGCCTCCCCGCTGGGGCTGCCGGGCCCCGCACCCTCCCCCGCGCCCCTGGGAGAGTCGGGCAGGGCCGGGGCCGGGGCCGGGGCCGGGGCCGGGGCTGGCCGGGGGCTCGGCCGAGGGGGATCCTTGAGAGGGGCTCGCATCCCCTTGGGAGACACCACGGGCGGCCGAGAGAATTTCTTCTCGATTCCCGACAGGTCGAAGTCATCGATGTCATCCCACTCATCGCCGATGGTGATAACAGAGCCAGCGGCAGAACCGGGACCGGCCTTCCCGGCGGGAACAGCACTGCCCGCCCTSGCCCCGGGAGCCGCGGGGGCCTTGGACACCTCGGGGGCCGCGGCGGGAGCCGGTGGGGTACAGGCTGGCTGGGGGTCGGGGCTGCGGGGGGGAACACAGCCCCACGATGGCGCTTTCYTGTCCGGCACGGCCGAGGAGAGCGCGGCCAGGGAGGTGTTCACATCCTTGTCCCTCAGCACCGAGGCGGCGGCGAAGCCCCGCGGCGCCTTCTTGAAGGTGAAGCCCCTGCAAAGAGACGACATTGCCGTCAGTTGCCGGCCGTTGCAGCCGCCCTGCCCCGCTCTCCGGCCCCGGTACTCACGGCGGGCGATCCCGCGGCGGTGCCGGGGTGCGGAGGGCCCCGCGGGCCGAGTGCCGCTGCAGCTGCTCCCACAGATTGTTCTGCGGCACCGCCGCCATCGCGGGGCCGCCCCGCCGCCAGGGGGCGCTCTGCGCGCGGAACCGCCTCCCACCCGCGCCGCGCGCGCTTTGCATTCGGCGCCAAAACGTCYCTCGGGCCCGGGTTGGATGGAGGCGGCAGGGCGGAAGTGACGCACAGACGCGATGGCGCGGGCACGCTCAGGCTCCGCTCCGCCCCTTCCCGGAAATGGCGGCTCCGCCCTCAGAGCRGGTCCCGCCCTGACCCCGCTCCACCGTCCCGCTCGTACCCGCCCACAGCAATTGGCGCTTCTCAGCGTCGTGGGGCGCGCTGGACTGCGTCGGGAGGCCGGAGCCCCTCAGCCACCCCCGCTCAGAGCTCACAACACAGCGCTGCGGTGRCGAGACAGCTTTATTGTCAGTGCCAAATTTCAGTGTGAAATAACACAGACATGCCTCTATTTATAGGCGGCTTAATTTCCCCAGCACCTGTTCACAATCAGCACTGATTTTCTCGAGTCTTGAYTGATGGGTTAAAGAAAAATCACCCTTTTCTTCTCTATGTGCATTAAAATACCCTATTTTTTAATATAAAAAACAGCAGACATTTCGTGAAAATAGATAAAGCGTATAAATCACAGCATTCATCCTTTTACAGAACAGGGAAATTGCCTTTTAAGAAAATTTTAAAATCGCTACAATTTACACCTGGTGATTGCAAAAAAAAAGCCACCTGAAGGACGGGGGGGGGTCTCCGTGTGCCCTAAATCGGTGCCTGTGTGGTTTCCCAGCACCCCAGCAGCCCCTGCTGCTCCTACAGGTGTCCCTGGTTGGGACAGGATGGAGGCACACCCGGGCACACACGGCTGGCAGCAGCGGGGAACCTGGCACGGAGCACGGCTGGGTTTGGCTGAAGGGAGGAGGCACAGCTCTTGCTGCTGTAGGAGGTTTTTGTGTACAAGCCCAGGAACGTGCCTGCAGGTAACAGCTTTCAGCAGGCAGGCGTTGYGCCTCCTTCTCCCTTTCGTCATTCCAGCACTCGGAAATTGGAACACSATCAGTCACTCCAGCCCTGTTCTGCTGTCCCCGGCCTGCACTGCCCTCCTACACCTGAGGGACAGGGTAAGAGGCACAAGCAGCAAGACCACACATGTTCTTGCCTCGTTCAATAAGGAAATACCTAAAAAARAGAGAAATGGGTATGAGTGAGCATGTCCTCCTCTGACAGCCAGCGTGGCACGTGAGGGTGGAAGGTCCTGGCACAGRGTGTCCAGGGAAGCTGTGGCTGCCCCTGGATCCCTGGAAGTGTGCAAGGCCAGGCTGGACRGGGCTTGGAGCAWCCTGGGATAGTGGAARGTGTYCCTGCCCATGGCAGGGAGTGGAAAACAATGGSCTTTAAGGTCCCTTCTGACTCAGACCAGTCTGAGAGTCTGTGAAGGCGACTGCTCTCTCTGTGCCAGCCCCTTCCCCATACCAGCCCTAGGAGCAGATTTCAAAAGAGCTGCCAAATTTCAGCTGGAGAGCRTAAGGGTGGACTGGGGCTGAGGGCAGGTGGAATCCCAGTACGTGGTGTCATTCACCAGGTACAGCAGAGCGTGGTGGGCACCAGGACCCCCTTACCCCTCCATGCCCCACAGCCGGCCCCAGGAGTTCTTGACGATCCAGTAAGGAGTCCCRTTCTCCTCTCCATAGCCCACGGCCAGGACGGCATGGTTCACCTTGTCAGGGGTGTGCTCACAGCGTGGGCTGCAGGGAGAATAACACAGATGTGTTGTAYGAGAAGCAGCCTCCATTTAGTCAGGGATCAGTCAGGCCAGCAGTCTTGACTGCACTCTGCAAAACACAACTATGGGATGCTCTGAAATCCCAGCTGTGGAGAGTAGGGAGGGAAGCCAAGGAAAGGAGACACTGCTGTGTTTTCCCACTCTGAAATTACAGCTCTATCTGGAATTAGGGAATCCATGGACTTTGGAGCTCCTGGCTGACCAAGACAAGCTACAGTGAAAACAGTGAGCAAAGAATTCTCCCAAAGGAAACCAGCAGCTCTTACTGCCTCCCAGTGATAGTTTGTACTCCCCTGAAGTTCAAGCACACTGTTTCATTTTTTTTGCACAGGAACAACAAGCTCTTGGGTCTAAATATGTGTTTCCTCTAAATTTCCAGCTTTTAAACTGTACTTGCTGAAAGCTGCTGCCTGTGGTATGAAACAAGACACACTCCCACCTCAAGAGCATCTATTTTTATACATTTTCAAACCGCAGCACAGGAAAAGATCAATAATCTCCACCTCAGATTTTCTTTTTTTGCAATGTGTTAACAGCTGCTCTGGGCTGAAAGCACTGRAGCACCAATWATTCCATGTWCTCTGACTTYAAATYCACCTTAGACTCTAAATCCATAGGATAACTGCTTCCTGGCATGTTCTTCAGACCATATCCTTGTCCTCACAGCCCACACCAGCCTGGGGCTGGCACTTACCTCTGGCATCACTGGCTATTGGTTCAGCAAAGCCACTGGAACCACTGCCTGCTTCTTCCCGAGATATCCCTGGGGCAGATGCCTCAGGCTCAGAATCTCCCTTTCATTTTCCCTGCAGTTCTACGTGACTGAGGGCTCATCACTCCAAAGTATTTTTATATTTCACCAAACATGCCCTTTCCCCCTTCCTGGGCTAACAGCATCTCTCCTGTCAGAGTCAGCTCTCATCTTTCAAATGTAGTCATCAGTTTTTCAAGTGGCTTTTTGTCCTGGCCATGGAGCTGACATCACACTCAAGGCTTGCAGGGTCACTTTATGTTCCTAACTGTTTTTTTTTCCTGCTGTTCCTCCCACCTGTCCAGGAGAGCACTTGACAGCATTGAGGTGAGGTACTGCAGAACCTGCCCTGCAGGACCCTGTCTAAAAGCACAACCTGCAGAGGTGCCAGCTCAGGTGCAGGGCACTGTGAGGGCAGCCATGCTTCTCATCACTACCCCTCTGAGCTCTGGCACCAGGGAGCTCCCCTAATGCCATGGAAAATCCACTTTGGTTGGGGGTTTACCCTAAGCAACCAGATGTGTTCAGCTGCCACAGCTGGGCTGACCCTGCCACTATCCCAGCTCAGACATAGATCAGCCCTGGGACAGCCCCCCACCCCAGCCTGTGGTGAGCTGCAGAGAGTCTCCCAAGCTCCCTGACTCACTGACCTTCATTCCAATCTGGACTCCAGGCTGGATAAGTTCCTGGCAAGTAGTGTCTCCTCCCTGTGCTGCACTCTCATCCCTCCAGGAACCAGTAAATCAAGGCTCCATTTACTCTTTTTTTTTTTCTATTTTTTATTTAAAAGGAAGCATGAGAATGCACTGCAGTGCTCCTGCATCCAGCCGGAGAAACAGGGAYGCACATGATTCCAGCCCTACACCTTCCCCTCACCCTCACCCRCCAGGTTCACACACTCACTTGGAATACACTCCTCTTCTGTAGTGCATGAAGTTAGCCGTCACCTCAAAGGCAAAGCTCACKGGGTTGTGTTTCCCCACAGCTTCCACCATGCCATCCTCATCATACTGCAAGAGAGGATCCAGGGTCATCCATCATCTCCTGGCTGTGCTGGTCCAGCAGTCAAGGCACAGGGGGATGGATAACCCTGGTTTCCTGCACATAGACAAGGAATCAGGTGCTGAGCTCTAAGATGAGAACAGGGACTTTGTCCTAGCCCGCAGGTGCACCCACTGTGGGGAGCCTGTTTTGGCTCCAACACTTCCCTGGTGCCACCTTCCAAGAGGTGTAAGGTGTGCAGGAGAGCAGCAGTGTGCAAAGCAGCTCACTCTCTCCCTGGAGCACGCAGGCTGTAGCTCCTGCTGCAGAGGCCAGCACACCTTGGGCATCCCAGCACCCTCTTGGTACAGCCCTGGAAGTTGCAAACACAGCCCTTGAGGCCTCACCTGWGTGATATTGACAACATCCTTGACAAAGGCAATGGCTTTCTCTGGCTGGAACTTGCAGGTGCCGTTCTGTGGGGACAGAGAGGAGCTGTTGGAGCCTGTGCCRGGCCCTGCTGTGCTGCAATGGCCTGGGCTGCACTGGGAATACCTTGGCCCGGTACGGGTAACTGTCCTCCCCCATGAGCCCTTTGTTGTACAGGATGTACTCGAAGGCTTGGCTTGGCAGGCCCCTAAGAGACAACACAGCCAGAACACAACTCAGTTAGGATGGTAACMATTAATTAGGATGGTAATGATGAATGGGGATGGTAATGCTGCAACTTCTGCAGAGCAAAGCCATGAACATTTCCYCTTCTGCAGACCATTCCCACCAGCCAGGGAGATGGGGAGGGCACAAACTCCAGTCTGCTCCTGCAGCACCCCCTGCGTGGGATTCAGGCCTGGCCCACCACCTTGTCTGGCATGGTCAGACCTCATTCTCCAGGTGCCCAATTCCTGCACAAGAACATCAGGAGCCGTGATGGTGTGGCCTACACAGCCTCACATGCTGAGAGGTGGTTTTTAGTGCCCTCTGCCCAGCCTGGCTGGGGAGGATGAGGGACCCACATCTCCAGCAARCAGCTGCTCCCTTCCCTGGCCACCTTCCAGAAGCACATCTCAGAAGGGAAGAAGAGAGCATAATCAGGGAGTGCTAATGCAGAAACGCCTAAGGAGGAGCCACAAGAAAAATAAAAGAGCACCGAGAGTGGCTTTGCTCAGCTCTGAGTCTCCCTCTCGGACCGCTTATCTCACAAAAAAATATAAGTTCTCAGAAAACTTCATTCTCTGCCTTCTCTAGAAATGACAGGAGGAACTTCTCAAAGGGGAAGCTAAAGTTTCTGTGGGCTCTTCATGGTGCCATGAGATGCACGTGACAACAGCCAGAATTCCCCTTGCTCTCCCAGAGCCCAYCAGAGCCCAGCCTGTGGCTGCTGTGTCAAGAGACATGTGAAAAACATCTCAGATAAAAACTAACAGACGAGGAACAGATAAAAGTTCAAGAGGTTGGGAAACAAGAGGTTGGGAAATGCTGGAGATTTAGTGAAACATCCTAATCTCTATGGAAGGTGAAATTAAAGTAAGCAACCAAATCCAAAATTGTATCCCCTGACACATTGCAGCCAAGAGAAGACAAAAGCCATTCCATGATGTGGAAGGATCCYGAAACTACATCTTGAGGAAGGCTGTGAATCACACAATGTAAGATAGTTCAATTTCTGTTCCTGTTGACCCTCTCTGACTTACCCACTGCAGCCATGGTTGTTAAAGGCCTGGGCACAATCAACCAACTGCTGCTCCGCCTGCAGAGAAGGATTTTGAGTCAGTGATTACCCCACAATTGCGTTCAGAGTAAGTGACACAAAAAGCAACCGCATGGCAGGAACTGAGACTGGTTTATCTGTGCATCTGGCTGTRACAACAACCACAGCACTGGTTCACCCACTGGTGAGTCACCTAGAAATGGTTCTGTGTCCCAGGGAGGTGGACAAGGAAGACCTGGAGACAGCAGCCTGGGATGCCCCAGCTGCCATAGGCATTCCTCCTCACGCCTGCCAGGAATCCGTTCCCTCGACAGAAGCACTGGCTGAGATTTCTTTCAAAGGTCAGGTTTGTTTTTAACACACCCAACGCTCAGTCATTCCTATAAGCTGTGTATGTGGCTACTGTCTTTCTAGTTCTTCAGGAATACAAACCTTCTGGGAGCTGAAAAACCAACAGTTGTCCCAATGTGCTGCCTGCAGCGAGAGGTCCCAGCCAGGTGGCAAGGTCAAACACAGCCTCTTTCCCCATGTCTGCACCCAGCAGCCTCCAGCCCCTCTGGTTTCATCCTGCTTCAAAAGGGCCCTGCCCAAGCCCAGGAAAATCTCTTACCAGAGAGAGCAGCTTTCCTGTGGCAATGGCRATAGCAGACTCCAAACAGCCTGTGGTGGAAAAGGTCCAGCAGCTCCCGCAGGCACCCTATATTTAGGAATGGGAGAGGACTGGATCCAGAACGTGCTGCAGGCTCACCTGCCTCCCACAAATGCTGGGGCAGAGGGGCATGGCAGGAGTGCAGAGCCTCCACTCCCCACCCTGGCATCTGGGCATGGCCTTCTGCTCAGCCCCTGCTCACTCCCTCCATGGCAGGCACGGAGCAGCTCCAGGGGAGATCCCCTGTGGCACAGGCACCCAGCACTGCTCCTCAGGCACAGCACCTGCCCGCAGCCATCAGTCCCTCTCCTGCCCCGCTCTGGGCATGTCACACACCCCTCACCTGGTTTTTCACAGGTGTCACGACATTTCCTTTCTTCCTCCAGTCGATAGAGTCGGGATACGGCCCCGAGCTGCGCAGGAAGTTSCCCTTGGTCGCTGAGCAGTTCTGCAAGTGAGGCAGGAGGGCTGTGCTGAGCTGCCAGGCCAGTGGCCCATGACAGCCACCCTCTCTGGGCTGGAAGGATTGGTGACCAGCCTGCACACACTGGCCACTGCTGCAGTGCCCGGCTGCTCAGGAAGCTGACAGCAGAAGTGACAGCTGGGCTAGAGCCATGGTCAAAGGAGCTGAAAGCCATGAGGGTGAGGAACAGGGTTCACCTTCTCTTACCCCRCTGCTGGTGGCACAGGATGTGACCTGATCAAAGTGGATTGCAGGCAGCACAGTGATGGGTGCTGGCCCAGCAGCAGGCGCAGGTCACTGCAGAAGCCCCATTCACAGGGTCCACCTGGACCCCCTCCTTCCCTGCCCACCCACACTCGCAGCATTTACCTGGGGCTCACTCCACARGTACAGTTTTTTAAACTCTTCGAAGGTCAGATCCGAGAACTGATTCAGGCCCACTAGAATGGGGAGAAAGGGGATACTTTGCTCAACGAGGCTCCGCSCTCAGAGCCAGCACGGGCCGTGGCCGGGCAGGGGCCGGAGCTCATACTCTGGAAGCTGTGATTGCCGGCGTTGTGCTCCTCGATGTGCCGTTTGTTGTCCAGGAAGATGCGCAGCCTGCGCGGGTACTCGTCCGGGCCGTACCACCGGTTGTTCTGCGGGGACACAGCGTGTCAGGGCCCCCCAAACTCCCGCCGCTCCCGGGACCCCCGGCCCTCCCGCCGCGCCGCAGCTGCCCCGAACCTCACCTGCAGCATCCAGGCCTTGAACAGCTGCTCCTCTGCGGGAGAGAACGGGGGCGTCAGCGGCTCTACCGCCGCCTCCCCCCCGCACGGCGAATCCCCGAGCCCGAATCGAGCGGGACCGAGCCGAGCCGAGCCGTGCCGGCCCAGGCCAGGCCGTGCCAAGCCGCCTGCTGCCCTCCCGGTGTCCCTGTACCTTCGGCCAAGGGCTCCCAGGCGGCGGCGGGGGCCAGGAGCGCGGCCGCGGTCAGTAACAGGRGCCAGCCCATGGCCGGACCGGACCGGGCCGAGTCAAGCCGAACCAGGACGGACGGGACGGAACGGAGCCGAACCCAACCGAGCCACGCCGAACGCACTCGATCGGAGCCGAAACGGGCCGAATCGGTGCCAGGGGGCGGAGCAATGGGCGGGGCAGCGGCACTGGGCGGGGCACTGGGCGGGGCACTGGGCGGGGCACTGGGCGGGGCACTGGGCGGGGCTGTCCCTCCCAGCGGTGGGCGGGTTCGGCGTCATCCCGCCCGCAAAACTATCACAAACCTCGGTTCACCCTGAGATAGAATAGATTTATTAGCAAGAGGTAATCAGGAAACATATATTTTTACAAAAAAAATGGAAATATTTTTTCCAAACAAGCTGTAAGTTGAAATAGTTTTAGGGCTTGAAAGAGAATTCCCATACCACGAGGTATTGCTTACAGCAAGTGTTGTGTGAGTGGAGCATGCCTGCCACCGCCGGGGAACCGTGTCAGGGACTGTACAATGTAAAAAACCCAGGTACTATTCACAGAATAAGCACTACATTACTATATCCTGCTAGCGGGTGGTTAGCCAGGATTACAGTAGATGTAATAAAAACACTCGTCATCTCTAACTCTACGTCATGATACTCAGAGTGGGCACAAGGGTACGGATCTACAGCATATCAACAGGAGCTGGATGCAGCGAGGAGAGGCAAGGRGATGCTTCCATCTTCCCAACTTCGGAGGGACCGGGGCAGCAGCCAGGGCCCCCCATGYCCAGCCAGCACGGGGGTGGCACACACAGAGAGGGCAGCTCACACCGAAGAACAACCTTTAATGTGTTCCCTTCTCTCACCTTACAGAGTCTGCCGTGGGATGTAACCGCCAGCACCGTCTGAGTGAGAGCTGCTCTGTGCTGCCCCAGAGCCCCATGGGGACACAGGGCTCACCAACCCCATGGGGACACGGGGACTCACCTGCCCGACCACCAGCCCCCCCAAGCAGGAACAAATGACAAAAGTAACATCATCGAAAAGAACCCGGGACTCCAGCGAAGTGTCGATGCGTTAAACCTTAACCAGGGCGGGAAATCCTACGCGAGGTCTAGTGCGGCCTGGGGCGGGGGCGGATTGCTCGGAGAAGCACAGACGTGGGAGTCACTCCAGGGCGTCCAACGGAACGAACGGGTATGTACAGTATGGTATAGCGAGTGTACACGGGCGGCCACCGCCGCGCTCAGGAAGGCAGTTTGGGCTCTATTCGCAGAGAAGCTTCGTAAAGGGTTTCCTCGTCCATCACAAACGACTGGTCCAGCAGGTACTGCGTCACCTGGGAGATGGAGCAGAGCCATTAACGGGCTGGGAAAGTACAAACCTCAATAATGGGCACCCAAACCCTTGAGAACTGGAGCACTCAAACCCTAGTAAAGGAGGCTCCTGCAGCAGGGGGTGGCCGAGACCTTTTAGCTCATCACATGTTGGAGGSCACCATGATGCAGAGGCCAGCTGGTCCTGGTGGTGGAGGTGGTAGGACACACTCTACTCCCTGGGGAGGGGTTGCTGCCCCTAAATAGCTGTTTCTCAGCACATCCAGGGTGCAGCCCCGGGAGCACTCTGAGCCTGGCCCAGTGGCTGCCCCATCCATCAAAGCTTCCTTCTGCAGCAAGTCCTCTGCTGCAGCTGCCTGGGGGTCAGAGGGGCAGTCTACTGGAGCCCCCACAGCTTCCCTCCATCCCCTGGCCCCCTGCCAAAGGCCTCCAGCCAGGCACAGCCACCACTCCAGCACAGGAATTGAGCTGCCAKGAATTGAAGGCTTTGATGCTGTGATGGAAGAGGGAGATGAGGAGCAGAGCATGTCTGTGGCTCTGGGGACAAGGCTGTACCTTTGGCTGGTGCTCGATCTTGTAGGAGGTTTGCTGGAACTGGCGGATCTCCCTTATGATGTGTGAGATCTGTCCAGGGATAAAACACAGAAGGTGTTCATGGCTCTGCTGTTACCTGAAAAGCTGTCCCCATGCCCAGGTGAGCAGGGGCACCCAGCACAGCACAATGCAAAGGGCCTTTTTGTCTCTTCCAGACATTAGGAACAGCTCCAAGTGTGTGCAGGGGATACTATGGCTGCCTGGTGCTGTGCAGGGGAAGGCTGAGGGGACACAGACTTGGCCACAACCACATCACCCCAGCCTGGCCCCACACACCCAGCCAACAGGCTGCAATACTCACCATCCTCATTTTGGAGAAGTTCACCAGGCCATCCTCGGTGTAGTTGGGAGTGCCCTCCTCAATGAATGCCAGGTCAGTCAGGTACATGCCCAGGTAGGGGACACACGGAGGGTCACAACTTTGGGAGCAAACCAGAAAGAAACGAGGAAGAAAATTGGTTTACTTTGGAGGTTGGGACGGRGTAGGGGAGAAGCAGGCAGCTCTGCAGTCAGCAGAATTGGAATGATTCTAATACAGGAAGGCTCTCCCAGGGAAGGCTGCTGGTCTTCTGGGCCTCATCCCCACCAGCTCAGCAGGACAAGCAGGACCTGTGGCTGTGCCCCTCACAAAGCCATGGGATGCAGGAGCTGAGCTGAGGGCAGCTTTGACAGAGGGTCAGGAAGACCTTTAGAAGTTTCCACAGGCACCCTGCTCTAGTGGAARGTGTCYTTGCCCACTGAGGGTTATGGAACAAGATRAGCTKTAAGGTCCCTTCCAACCCAAACCATTCTGKGATTTGGTTACWCCACGACAGTGATARGGAAAAGTGTTCCCTGGTGTCTGGCAGTGATTTTTGCCTTTGCAGTCCCTTTTATTCCCATGCTGCACAAAGGAGCAGCTCAGTCCTGGGGATGGCTTTGTTTTGGTGCCCTCAACAGGGCACGCTTTAGTGCAGCCTCTGAATGACCCTGGGAGCTCCAGGCCCCCCCACACCACCAGCCCCAGACCAGCCTGCAGCATTCATGGGAGACAAAGAGAAGCACCATTCACTCACTTTTTCAGTGCCTCTCTCAGGTTCTTGAACCTGCCCTCCGACGACACCAGCTTCTGGAGCTTATCAATCAGAGCCTTTGTCTGCAAGAAACCAAAGTGCTGCTCGGTGGGAAGAACCCCCRCTCCCTGCAGAGCCACAGGGCTGCTTCCATCCCGCCCGCCCAGGGCGCATCACCCCATCAGTTCCTTCACCTCCACAGGTACAAATGTGCCCTGGTCATCACACCTGGCTGCTGGTGAGGAGGTTGTGTGCTCCCTTCCTCTTCTGCTCCCACCTCTGCCCTCGCCAGCAACCTATTTTCATTCACAGGTTTATCATTTTATAGGAAAAATRACTGCTCCTGGCTGAGAGGAGCCCACAGTGGTGCTGGCTTTGCTCCATCTGCCTCCACACCGGTACCTGTACCTCAGCTGCTCCTGTACTATGTACCTCAACCAGGAATTCATCCTGCTCATCCATAACAGGTCTGAGGAGCCCAGAAAAACAATTAAAGAGAGCCTCTGTGTGTGTGCAGGTACAGGGSCTCTCTGGGAAAGGTTTAACTCTGACTTGCAGAGTGGGGCCCATCTCTTCTCACAGGTAACAAGGGATGGGACAAGCAAAAAAGGAGTCATGGCAAGAGAGTTTTAGATTTGATATTGGAAAAATGTCTTAATGGAAAGGGCTGTCTAGCCCTGGCACAGCTGCCCAGGGCAGTGGTGGAGTCAATGCAGGGATTTATCAGATATGTGGATGTGGCACTTGGGGACATGGGTTAGCAGTGGCCTTGGCAGCGCTGAGCGAACAGTTGGACTCCATGGTGTCACAGGGCTTTACTAACCCAAACAATCCCGTGATTCCAAGAATAAACCCGACTCCAAGGCAGGGTCTGCCTGCCCACACACCACCTCCCTCCTGAGAACAACCTGAAACACCTTTCTCCATTTTCTAAGTCCTTTTCGACGCCCATCTCACACAGCGCCAACACCACCCCACCAACCCTCCCGCCTCCCCAGGAGGGGTCACCCCTACCTGCTTGGAGACCTTGAGCCAGGTTTTCTTGAGGCGGAAGATGGCACTGCGGTTGAGGGAGGAGGTGATCTCCAGCACRGCGTTGTAGTTGTGCAGGCAGCGGCAGATGTCAGCCACCGCCACCCACTTCTCGATGGCGCTGACCCGCGCGTTGATCTCCTCGTTGCGGATGATCTCCGACGCGATCAGGTTACTGACCTTGGGGAGACACGGCGCCCAGCCTGAGCTTTAGCATGATTTTGGGCACAGCTCTATGTCCTCCAGCCTCGCAGCRTTTTTAGAAGATTTCCCTGTGCTGCGGCAGCCCCAAAAGGAGCAACTGCACCTTGAGTTGCTCCACCTGCCCTGGGTCCCTGAGGCAGGCAAGGCCCATGGGGCAGGTGACCCTACACACCCCAGGCCCTGGGGCAGGGGGGCTGAGCTGCCTCCCCTGTGCCCATCCCCCTGTGCCCTACAGCTGCACCTACATCATTGAAGTGCTTTGTGTTCTTCATGATGTATGGAGTCCTCTCATTCTTCTCCAGCTTCATCCAGCCTTGCCCGAAGAACTCTCTGCAAACCACAGTGGTCGGGTCAACTTTTATTTCCCAATTTTATGGAATGCCCAAGCCCTGCAAGCTCTACTGCATCCRTACAGGATGGACATCCTGTTGTCTTTGCCCCACTACAGTGTCAGAAAGGGACCACATGGATGTGGTTGGAAGTGTGATGGTTGTGGGAGGCTCTCCCTGAGCTGATTACCCCGGGGACAGCGGCAGAGAAGCCACAGGATCAGRACTCAAATCTGTGCTTGAGCCAAGTCTGGGGTACTGATAAAGCCTGAGAAGGCTCTGTACTCTCTGGGGTCAGCCCATGGGGCCCTGGGTGACCAGAGCCACCTTTCCTGAGCCATGTGGATCACTCACTCATATGGGATTTTCTTGAAGACCAGGTGATCCAGCAGTGTCAGCTGTTCTGCGATCTCCAGGGCTGAATGGTTTTCAAATGGTTCTGCTTTGACCCCCTCAGCCTGTGGGACAGAGGAACAATGGGGCTCACTGGACAGCTGCCCCCACAAACAGCACTGGGACAAGGCTGGTGACACTCCTGCAACACCCCCATCCCTGCTGCCTTCTGGGAAAAGATCAGCCRCTAAAAAAAACAAGCCTGACCGACATCCCACCCAAATAAACCCTGACGA